GGAATCCAGCGTATTCTCAAAACCAGGTCGTTGTCCAACAGCAAGACAGCCCAGATTCATTTTCATATGAGGGGCTCCAAGAATCTCTCCCTCTGGGATGAGTAGGAAAGCACAATTCCAACTTCATACTAGGGAAACCTTCAAAATGCCAGGGGCCTTCAACTAGGAAAGCAAATGGAAAATGTCTTGTGGGACAGAGAAATGAAGGCAGAGACAGAAGGAATAGTCAGTTACAGAACAGAAGACAGAAAGGTGGTCAGTTGCTCAGGTGGAGTCAGCAGGGGCAAGGACCTTACCGTTAGTGGCTGACACCAAAGCAAATGTTTAGGCAGGTGATCACTTGTCACCATGAAGACAGTCTGTGTTGACTGTTTCTGTGGTCTGTCCTCGTCTTGGGACCCTCAAAAAGGAGGTGCTCCATCTGGGTGCAGCCTAGGGCTCTACTGCTCTATTCAGATGGAAACCTTGAATCATCAGGTTGTGGCCAGATCACTGTGGCTGCCAGCCTGACCGTTGGATGCCAGCTTGTGCTGGACACCATCAGACAGCTCTGGCCACTGCTGGGTCTCCTCGCCTAGTCTTTACCCTCTGGTCTCTGGAGCTCTTTCTGAGTGTCTGTCTTTGTTTGGAAACTGACTGCTCTGTCCCCCCTACTCATGATAAAAATTCCAACTAGTTTCACAGGACTTTTGAAGCCCACATGACCTAAGCAATATATCACAAGCAGGTTTAAAGTAGTAGCAAAGAAATCTTTATTGTAACGGAGCCTGTGCTGCAGCAGAAGGGACTAGAACACAGGAGAGAGCCCCCATAGATGAAAACCCCTACATTCTCTTTTTTATGGTAAGTCTTGGAGGTCTGGCATTGGATTCTTCTAGCACGTATTAGTTTGGACCAGCTACATTTCAGTTATTTGATAGGTCTGTGCGGCTAATGGCTACCAAATTGGGCAGCACTCTGCCAAAAATGTACTAGTGGTGGAAGGGCATCCAGCTCTGCTGTTTGTATTATTTCTGTATTTTGTGGTGCAAACAACCACAAACATCAGCTTAAAACACACATTCACAGTTTGCATAGGTCATGAATATGAGTATGAATTACTTGGAGTCCTCTGCTCAGGGTCACACTAGGTAAAATCAAGATATCATCTGGGTCTGTCATTTCTTCTTTTTTTAGGGGGTTGGTGGTGGTACTAGAGATTGAACCCCGAGCCTCGTGTACATGAGCGGATCCCCACCAGAGCTACATGTCTTGCCCATTAGAGACAGGATCTCCATAATTACCCAGGCTGGGCTAGAACTTGTGATCCTCTTGCCTCAGCTTCCTCATTAGCTGAAATTACAGGTGTGTGCCACTGTGCAGGAGTTGAGACTTGTGATTTTGCCTGAGGCGTGAGCTCCTTTTCCAAAGCTTTCCTGTTGTTTGAAGAATACAGTTCCTCACCATTATAGGACTAAAGCCCTCATTTTCTGGTAGGTTCTCAGTGGGATACCAGACTCACTCTCTAGAGAATGCTGCCCTTAGGGTCTTGCCATACTCCTTGAACTGGCAGATTATAACCTGGTTGGTTGCTTCAAGACCAGGAGACCTCCTTCAAATCTAAAATCTCTGTGATTTCTTGTTCTTGACTTCACCTGATTAGGTCAGATTGACTATACTGAAGAGTGATCTTGATATTAGGAAAAGCTCCTGATTACATCTGCATAATCGGGGAAGTAATATCCCTCCCTGTTCACGAATCTACTCACACTCAAGGAGACAAGAGGACGTAGAGCATTAACACTGGGGGCAGGAATCCTGTCACCTATCTTCAAATTCTGCTGTCACAGAAGTTTCTTAGACTCTTGAGGGACAGTGCCTCACAGGTAGAGCCCTCTCTGTTTACAATAACGTGTCTCCAGACATGTCTCCAGATGTGTCTGTGTTCACAATTCAAGCCCAGCCTGGGTAACTTAGTGAGACACTATCAAAATAAAAAGTAAAAATGGGGCCGAGGATGTATGTAGCTCATTGGAAAAGTCCTGTGTTCAGTCCCCAGTACTGTCACACACACATACACACAGGAGACAAATAGTTGAATAATGAACAGGCCTCTACTAGACTACTGACTTTATACACAGGGAGAAGTTTTATCTTAGGAAAACCTGATTCACCTGCCCTCTCAGTATGTTTTTTTTTAAATTTTATTTAAGGAGAAAAAAGAAAAAAAAAACAGAAAAAGGGTACAAGTTATACAGAATTTCAGAAAAAAATAAACAGTAGGAAATCACTAGTTAATTACATATTGTGATCTTAGAAATAGTTGTTGAAGTTACAAAATTAAAGCATATAGAGGGGACTTTTAAACAGTGAGACTGCAAACAGTTTTGTTCAATGATCCAACAAAACTCAGTAATATGGTTATCTATCTTATATACTTAAATATATATGCAGTTATATCTTTTAGAGAACTTTCTTTTCCTTTCTTTTGTACAATGACAATTACATATTTTGGGTTTTATTACTCCCACAGTTCTTATTACTTTTTTTTTTGAAGAAAATAAAACCAAATGTGACATACCAGGACAGAGTCAGTCCAATCAAAAGGATGGACATAACACATAATGTAAAAACAAAATACAAGGTGATCAACAATGGTTACCATAATGCCCCTTATTATCTTAAAAAGAATTGCCTATATTATCAGTTATAATAAAATTGAACAAAACAGTAAAGAATAAGACCAATAAAACCAAAACATTGGAGACATTAGAGGACTTCAAAAGAAGATAATAGTCAACCAGAATGGGCGTCACAGTGAATCTTATTGTCTTCATAGTTGTTGCCTACACTTTCAAACTTGGTACTATCAAGCATAACAGCATAGAGGAAAATCAATCAAAACAAGATAGTGAGAGCAATACAGAGTTTCAAATCAAGTTAATAGGAAATCAAAGTGGGTTACTATAATATATCCTGCTATTTTTTATTTATTTTTCCCTTAATTAAAAGGATAAAAATGAAAAAGTAGATAATAAAAAGGAGATTGAGATTAAAAAAAGAGGACATAACAACAAAACAGTGCAGGTCAAAACATAGCCATTTAAGCAAAATAGTGTTTCACCACAAGGTAATCTCGTCATAATAGTAGTTACCATCGTGTCTCTTCCCTTAAAATCTTTGGGTATAACTTCGTATACTGTAGCATCAAACATATCAAGACAATGTCAAACTGTTCAAGAGAATGACAGTATTACAGAGTATTTAGAATCAACTAACAGAAAATGAACAATGGTTTCTGTATAATCTCCTTGTCTATAAAAGTTTTTTGTTTATATTATCACATATAATAAAATAAGATACAACACGTTAAAACCGATGGAGGCAAAAGAACAAAAGCTTGATGGGACTTCAAAAACAAGAGGATATTAAATCAGCACTACCTATTATGATGTCTTGTTTTCTCCAAAATGGCTGTTCCTACCATCCAACCTTCTCTGCCTCATTTCTGTTGAGCTCTTTTTCTGTCACTAGTTGTCAGTTTGTCCTCTTCATTTCACTTTCTGCTCCATTCATTGTGGCCGCTCTGCCACTGTTTCTGGAATCTTGGTATTTTTCATTTTTAGAATATCCTGCAGTAATCTCTATAGAGTTGAATTGGTGGTTGTAAATTCCCCTAGTTCCTCTTTATCCTGGAAGCACCTTGTTTTTCCATCAATTTCTAGGGACAGTTGTGCAGGACATATCAATCTTGGCTGGAGGTTATTATCTTTCAAAGCTTGAATTATTTCCCCCCATGCTCTTCGTGATTTGATGGTTTGTGCCGAGAAGTCTGCTGTAATTCTGATGGGTGTTTCCTTGTAAGTGATCTGTTTCTTGTCTTTGACGGCTTTTAATATTCTGTTCTTATATTGGATTTCTGGAATTTTGATTATTATATGTCTGGATGTAGCTCTGTTTGGGTTGTAGGTGGCTGGGGTCCTGTATGCCTCATACATTTGAGTATCTTTACCTTTTGCTAAATTAGGGAAATTCTCCTGGATTATTTCTGTGAATAGCTTTTGTAGTTCATTTGTTTGAGTCCCTACTTCTTCTTTTATGTTCTTAATTCTTGAGCCATAGATCCTCTTATCATCTTCTAGTCTTTGTATTATTGCTGTTTGTTTTCTTGTTATTTTTAAGAAGTTTTCCATCTCATGCTCCCACCTTACAAATCTGTCCTCCAGTTCTGATAATCTATCCTTAGTTTCTTTCAAGCTGTTATGCCAGCTTTCAATAGTGTTTTTAGTTTCCTGGTAATCTCTTTGAACCTGCTTCACGTATTCTATGTTTTCTCTATTTTCTCCATCAAACAATTCTCCCCTTTTTTTCTGTTCTTCCATTCCACCATCTGTTTTTTTTGGGGGGGGCAGTGCTTAGCATTTCTCTAACTATTCTGCTTATTTCTTGCTTTATTTCATTAAATACTTCATTTTTGAACTTGTCTATGAGGCTATGGAGATACCGCTTTATGTCTATAGGTGCTGTGTCTGATACTGCATGTTTTCTGTCTTCATTCTCTTTTTCATTTCCCTTTCCTGGATCAGTGTTCTCAGGATTGGGGACTGAGGACCCTTTCTTGTTGCTCCCTTTTCCCATACTTTTTGTTCCTTCCATACAAGCATATGTAGGAGGCCCAGTTTTTTTTTTTTTTTCCTCTTTGTCTGTTACAATTTGTTTGAATCCGCCAGCTAGGTGTTCCTGCCCACTGCAGTGTACTAGGGAGACACAGACCTGGGCAGCCTCTGTTGGGCCTGCCCCTCCAGGTCAACCTACTGAATGCTTCACTGCTAGGGTGCACCGCCAGGCGCAGGGACCTGATTTGGGCTAGCCTACTGGATCTTAGTCCGTGACATCACCAGGCCAAGCGCTCCCCACCAATCCCACTTGAGAGGGGAATATGCGACTAAAGTCACTACAGGGCCCTGTTCCGGCTAGTCTGCCCATTCCCAGAATGTCCTCTGTTGGAGCCGTCTAGTCTATGAAAGGGTCCCCATTTCTCTCACTCACTGCAGGTCGATGCAGGGCTCCCTGCCAGTCCCGCTCTCAATGCCATTTGGTTCGCTGATTGCAGCTCTCAGAGCTTTCGCGCATCTCTCTACCTGCCGTGTGGATTGGGACACAGTATCGGTAGCAGGAAATTCAAATTGCGGCTTCCAATGGTGTGGGATCCAGCTTCTGTACTGAGATTTTTTCTGTTCCTGTTATAGCATCAGAATTGCATTTCCAGTTGGTTTCTCTCAGCTTAGTTCGTTCCTGGGCCAGCAGGGTACATCTCCCCTCGCGTAGGACTCCTCACACGGCACCGTTCCTGGATTCTAAACTGGTAATCTCAGAGAGCCTCCATGGCTGCTGTTATTTGTCCATCATGTTCTTCTGGAAGTCCCCTCTCAGTATGTTTTATTCCACAAGTAATTGCGGCTCACCTAGTGTGCCCAAATGTGAGGAAAAATGAACAAATACTAGAATGAACCAGGTATGCTTTCTGTCTTTAAGGAGCTTATCATTTTGTAAAAAAGATGAAGCAATCTCAGAAAGCACAAGGCAATGTGAAAAAAGAAAGCAAAGCAAAGCAAACTGAGCTAAGCACTACAGACAACATAGGTGAGATGCTCTGGACAGAGGAAAGAGCGGGCTCGGGGTTTGAGGAGGTGTGCACTCACGGGAGGAGGCCAGGGGTCACAGAATGAACAGGACACCAGAGGCAGAGGCACGGCAGAGGCACTGAGAGATGACAGAGCAAACAGCAGAGAGATTTCCTTCCCAGGCAAAGGGTGTTGACTGCGTTCAGAAGTGGTTGGTCCAGTCTGGCTGGAATGTGGCATGTGAGGAGTGAGATAAGTCTGGACCAGTTTTCATATTAAAGTTGTTCACTGAGGAACAGTGGACAGACCTTAGCAGTCGGGATGATGGTAAGAGAGAAAAACACATCCTCATTCCCAGTCTTAAAATAGATCCTGTTGCCCATGCAAATGAAAAGGCATTTTAATGTTCGGTGTTGCAACTGTTATTAGCCAGTTATAGATCATGTGTGCAGCTTACTCAAGACTCTGAGTTCAATCTAAAGCACCAAATGACAGTGTTTGTCCCGAACAGCCCTGTCCCTTCCATCATCATCTTTTGCGCCAGCATCACCAATTCTCACCCCACTCCCTGTGTTCTGGCTTCACATGCATAAATTCTTCATCTTCAAATAGCTTGCTCTTGTCCACCCTAGTAGTCTCAGCATGGTCAGAGCAAAACCTTTGTAAGCACACAATGAATTCTTTTAAATGGGTAAATGGTTTTAGGTTGTCATCACTTCTTGCTTGTCAAGGGATGTCTTTTCAGCCACTCTTATTTCACCTTTTCTCCATATCGCTAAAATTTTAATCCATTAAAATTTGACTCTCAATTACCAATAAATTCCTGAGGAAAAAAGCCCCAACATCTGAGAATGATCTGACACAGATAAATCATATGGTTCTCCTATAGAACCTCCTATAGAACCTCCTATAGAACCTCCAGGATCCCAGGGTGATCGGAGACAAGTGGCAGCAATTAATTGCCAGAGGCAAGCAGGTTGATTACTTTGACGGATAGTAAAGTCAGCAGTTAATCAGAATAGCCTGACCCACAATGCTGGCTAGTTGATTACACTGTTCCTACAAGTTAAATATGTGTACAATCTACTAAGTCTTCCATTCTATGTGCAACTGCAGGAATTTTAGGTCAAGTGAACAGAAATCTAGACTGAATCATAAAAAGGAAAGCCATAGCCCTTCATTTGACTACTGGATTTGACCCAGATTACAGACCCAGAACCCACTGGAGCAGAGGCCAGGTCCACGTAGGAAAGGACTCTGGACTTGTCAACCTTTTAAAGACGTTCAAACCAGGAAAATTCATGAAGAAGGTAGGAAAGGTTTAATGGTGGGATGCCTCTTTCCTTTCATTTTCCGATTGGCTGCAAATCTAAGAATGAGGAGAACTGACTCTGTTGCTGGTTCTATCTTATTCGGTGTCTGTGTTATTCAATCTTATCGCATTTCTAGGTCATGCCGTGGCTCAGTCACCTTCCATGGATGCCTTCTGGACTTGGGAACCTGCAAAACAAAGGCTGGTCAGTACTGGATAAAAGAGAGGCCTGTGAAAGGTGGCACTCAGTGGTATATAATTAAAGGCTGCTTGGAGGACACATCAGAGTGTTTAAGAGAACACAAATAGTCATGAGACTTGCTATACTTAACCGCCGCCTTCAACCTCTGTGCAATGTCTGAAGAAATGGCCCAGACTCAAGTAGGTCAGTGTCAGAGCATGGCCTGTTTTCACAAGATGGCAGCCACGGACAACTAGCCCACTTCAGACTTTTGCAAGTCATGGAGCTTACAACCTGAAGTAGACGTGGCATTCAAAGTGCCCAACTGCTCTCCATCTGCCTCCAACACCATCTGTCTCCTCTCTTCCCTCTACTTAATTCCATTTCCTGCCACAGGCAATCTCAAGGTTACAAAGAAGTAAAAAGACATCCCCAAGTCAAACTAAGCACATTGGTTCTAGTTAGTTTCTCTATATATTTCCATATTGCAAATGTATTTATGCATGAATTGGATCACAAGGTGCCAAATGACCTGCAAGAGATCATTCAGTTCCCAAAACAAATTGCCTTCTTCCTGTGGAGCAATTTATGGTATGGGAGAAACTGATGTAACAAATACCATAGGGAATAAAATAAGCCGTGAGTCAATAAACCAGGCAGGTGACAACTACGTGCTCAAATGGCAAAAAGACAAGATGAGGGTTGGCATTCATTCTTCCACTGGCACCAGAATTTGTTCAAATCCTGCCTGTCCTTGCCTTAACCATCCCTGTGTGCTGTTTAATATTGGTAGAGTAAGCAATTCTAGTTAAACAGGAGAACAGGCTCTCATCCATAAAGAGTTTAAAAGAGATGTGAATGTATTTTAAATTACATTTCACATTTTTTGATATATTATGTACTCTATTATTCCAATTCAGTGCCCTAGTTTTGCAACCTAAAGACTATTGATTTAAATTTAAAAAAAGAAAAACAGGAAAGACTGTTGTCTGTTAGGATAACACAGTCCAGAAATTATATTGCTACTTCTTCTCCAACCATCCTCAAGAAGATTTATAGTATTTTGCTAGGGTGACTATGCTATGGGGGAAAGGAAATAATCTGACTTTTCAGGAACACTGGCACTGACTGACAATTCAAAGGACACAAAATGTCACTTGGGCCCACCAGAGTAGGTGCTTACGGAGGTCAGGTGACCAATGCAGTTTTAGCTCTGGTCCATTTTTCAGTGAGCCCAGTGGGCCCTGGAGCCTGTCCTGCAGTTATTTCTGCAGTTTAGGGTTGTATAATTGGAAAAGACCTGCTCAACAGCTGCATAATTCACTTCAGTCCCCCGACCTGTGGACAAGGGTTATTATGATGAGAAAGAGTCCAGTGGAAGACACTGGAACTGCTTCCACCTAGAAAAATAATAAACTCAAAATAATACCACATCTCTGGAGGGATTTTCAAGATTAGTGTCACTATCAAGGACATGAAAGGTAGAGGGGTGATTTCCACTGCCTCACCATTCAGCTCGTCCATTTGGTCTGTGTGGAAGACAAGATACAGTTTGGACAGGGACACAGATTTCATAGGTTTAACCATGTGGTGACTCCAACTGCAGTGGCTGCACCAGATATGGTTTCACAGCTAGAGCCAATCAACACATTCCCCAGGAGCAGGCATGCAGCTGTTGGTCTGGCAAATGCTTTTTGTGCATATTTATCAATACAGCCTCCAGGGGCAGTTTGTTTTCAGCTGACATGATCAGACATACACCTTTATGGTCTTATCTCAGGTTATATCAAGTCTCCAGCCTGTCATCATTTCATTCATATTTTTTTTTTTTTAACACAAAGTTTTGCTGTATAGTTGAAGTCGGCATTGAACTCACTATGTAGCTAAGATTGGCCTTGAACATGCAGTGGTCTTTCTGCCTCAGCCTCCCAAAGTGTGTGGACACAGGTGTGTGCCACCATGCTTGGCTCTGTTCATAAGGATCTTGGTTGCCTTTCCCCTCCAATAAAATGTCACAGTAATCTACTCCATTGACAGCATGATACTGACTGGACCTAGAGAGCAAGAAGTGGCAACAACTTCAACGGTAAGGTCCATACAAGCCAGGGATTAGAAAACAAACCCAACAAAATTCAGAGGGCCTTGTGTCTCAGCAGACACCTCCGAGGCTGGTGGAAGGGGGCATGCAGAGTTAGCGCCCCCTGGAGCTGAAGGACAAGCTGCTGCTGCTGCACCAGGCCCTCCTACAACTGAAACAGACACACCACCTAGCAAGCCTCTGGGTTTTGGAGGCTCCTCTTCATTCGGATGCATTGCTCCAGCCCCTTAGCCAAGAGCCTGAGAAGCTGATACCTCTGAGTGTGCTCAGAAGAAAACCAGGCTCTGCATCCGTGGAGGCTGCCAGTCAAGCTGCTGTGACTCGTGGACCACACAGTCCTGCAGATCTGTGGTGCTCGCTGGCAGTGACAGAAGTTGGAGTCCTGGGCAGAGCCCTCTAGGTGCACTGCAGTAAGCCTTCACGATTTTGGAGCAAAGCCTACATCCTCTGTGGATAACTAGTGCTCTTTAGAGAAACAACTCCTGGTTTGCCACTGGGCCTTACAGAAGGTAAACACTCAACCATAGGCCACCAAGTTAATGTGACACCTGAACTGCCCTTGTGGGGGGGGGGTGATCTGATGCACCCAGCCACAAATCTGGGCACGCAGGGCAGCACTCGACCATCGAGGGGACATGGGGGAGACTGGGCCTGAGCCGATGCTCAGAGCACAGCTAAGTCCTGCGAAGAGGCTCAAAACCTTGTAGTGCTATTCTTCCCGCATTCCTTCTCCTAGCAGTACCAAAGACTTCAGAGGTGCTCCCTATGATCCACTGAAGGAAAATGGGTCTGGTGTGCAGCTGTTTCTGCAGGATATGTGGGCACAGCCAGCAAGCGGGAGGCTGTAGACTGCAGCTCTCTCGGGTGGAAACCCCTCCCAGCGGTGAGGGCAGAGCCTCCCAGCAGCAGAACTTCAGTCAGTCTGTCACAGGCTGGTGACAAGGAAGTCTCAGGAAAGAGTGTGAACAGACCTCTCCAAATGGGTGAAAACATGAAGATGTTTGCATCCCATGGCAACACTCACATGGGTGACCTTGGCCAAGCAGCGCCTTAACAATCAGGCGGAAAGGAAGTATTGTGTGGGTTGCAGTCCACCTCCTCCCTCACCTTGTTTTAAGCTCAGCTCTCAGGTAGTTTGTTTTGCAGCAGGACTTTTACTCACTCGTCTTCACTGTACTTTATTGTGCCTCTCACCTTCTCTTCTATGGCCCCCCAATTTCATATCCTACATCACCCCTCTTCCTGTAGCCACCTGTTTTCCCAGCAATAGGGAAAACCTAATTCTACCTAGTAATGTATAACTTGTTTGGGACAGTTCCAGTTTACGCCTATCTCCCCTATATATGTATACACACAGAGACCTTGAGTCCAATGCTGGGACTGAACAGGGGCCCCTCGCCATGCAGCCCACTACACATAAGTCCCTCCAGTTATTAATAGGGCCTTCTTTCAGAGTTTCCCTTCCTTTCTCCCTGTCTCTTTCTCTGGGGATCAAGCTCATGTGAGGCAAACACTGTACTCATGTGCTATATTTCTACAACTGAAACTGTCCAATGTTAGTCAATAAATCATGTGGCTATCCTGTGTTTAATTACCCTGTCATCATTTGTGTAGGTCACTTGGAAGCATCATGCTTTTCCTATCAATACATACCTACCATGTGTTGCACTTTGCACGATGCGCTGCCTGGCTCTCTCTGTACTCCCCAGTGCTCCGGGAAATGCAGGCTGTTCAGCCACCTCCCCTGGAGGGCTGGGTAGGTTTGAGGACAGATGAGAATGTGGACTGGACCTTGGGAAAGGCTATTTTCACATTGCTTTGCAATGGAATCAGTACACAGGCAGCACAAAAGATACACACAGGACCAACAAGGCTGTTGGGGTTACAACTCTGCAGTGGAGCATACGCTATGCACATGCAAGGCCCTGGATTTGGTTCCCAGCAAAACAAAATAAAACAAAAAATATGTCAATGTTGAGAGCGTGTGGTATTAGGATGGGTGTGACTTCTGCAGTCTTCCCTTTGTCTGGCAGAGGCTCGCTTCAGAGTGTTTCTCACTGTGCAGCCTGGGGAAGCCAACAGGAGAGCCGAGCCCCAGATGTTCAGCTTTTAAACTGATGGGTGGAGCAGCTACCTCAGCCCACACTCAGGGTGTGGGAGTCTCCTTTCTCAGCACACTGTCAATACATAGCGCAGTTACTACTGTGATATTTTTCTTTCATTGGCACGTGATCTACTTAAGAAATCAGTGCAGTTGTTCAGGAGCACCCAGAAAAGCATTCAGGGACTCTGAATGGAAGAATTTAGAAGCACTGTATCCCCACATAAAAACCACTGAAAATTTTAGCTTTACCTGGGTGATAAAAACAATGAAAATGAAGTGCTAAACGCCTAAGTGATTTCTAGAGTGTTTTTCTAACTCAACTATTAATCTCAACCATTAAGTGTTTATTACAACTCAGGTCTTCATTTTTAAAAGACACCCCCCAAATGTGTTGGCATGTGATCTGCCAATGTAAAACATTCTCAGAACATAAACTGGTATTAAATTTGTAACAAATTTTATAAGAAAAGGTTATGATTCGCATATATTTGGAACATATGTCAGAACAAAACAAAACAACAAGAATACATATAAATATTGACGTCATTGACTGAACTGTGAACAAGAGGAAGGAACTTGCGAAGGATTCGAATCCACCTTCTTCTGAAAGCATTAACTATTCCTAGATTGTCTCTCAGGTATTTAACCAGCCTCCTCAATCTTTCCAGAGGTTATATACGCTTCATCTCAAGAAAAGAACACAAACCCATTTTTACTCATTTAAAACAAACAAAAATAATAAAATAGGAGATCAGAGTAAGGTCACATCCTTGAAGCAGCTTTGCAATACACAGAGCATGGTATTGGCTTCAAAACATAAAGATTCTTCCACTTGGGTGATTTAGATACAGAGAGAGGTCCCAGTCTTGCTCTATAGAAACTTGCAAGCTATATTCATTCTGGTACATGAACTTAATTGTACTTCACATAGTTTTATATTTCGGATGACACTAAAACAGCAAAAAAATCAACTGGTAGAGAGCTGTTAATAAAAGAAACTTTAAAACAGTAATCATCCTGATAAACTGAAAATCAATCCTGGATTAAAACAACACATTTCTGATTACATAAATAAATTCTATTCTTTACCAAATATTTCCACTGTCGGAAGAACCTGATTAAAATTGGGAAATACATAAAATGAGAACAGGAAGTAAACACAATGGTCTCTGGTTGTCTCAGAAGGTGTCCTGGTCCGAACCCAGCTGCGGAGCCGTCCCTGGGTCCTCAGCGGAGCGTGACCAGTTCTTCTGACGAGGTAGGGTGAATGGCGACGGTGTTATCGAAGTCGGCCTTTGTTGCTCCCATTTTCACCGCAACGGCAAAACCCTGCAGCATCTCATCACAGCCAATGCCCTGCATGTGGATCCCAACCACCTGGGGGACGGAGAAAGGAGGAAAATGAAGCCTGCTAGCTCCCCCTCGACCGGCTTTCCTTCTGTCCCACATGGCCTGCCATGCCACCTCCCTGTACGAGGTAACCTGTCTGCCGGGCCTTCCTCCCCACTTTCAAGAGCTGATGACCATCTGCCTTTCAGTCAGCAATACGATGTCTTCCTGAGCAAGTTAACGTCTGCCACATGACTGGTTCTCTGTCATGGCTCTATCCCAGCTGCAATGCAGTTTTTTCTGAGGGAATGGACAGTTATATAGCCCATCTTGCCCAGAAGACTATAGGGGCCCCCACCTGCTTCTGCTCCCCACTCTTCTAACCACAGCCGAGCACAGGAATCAGCCTTTCAAAGGTTCCCAAATCCATTTGTGCTGGTTGGCTACATGAACACTTTAACATTTGCTTTACTCAGACTGTCTAGTGAGATTTCTTTCTGTATTACAAACTATTAGTAAATGACCACCTTCAGCAAATAGTTTTAGGTAAAAAGCCCACTAAAAAGCAAAGTTAATTACAAAATTAAGCCACAAATTTACAAAAAAAGAAATTGAGAATATGCTTAACACTAATGAACTGTACATTTTTAAATGATTAAGAAAAAGGCCAGTTTCATCTGGAATAATAATGGAATTCCTCACTGCTCTGGTCCCTTACATAGAAGATTAACTTGAAATAAGCTAGTGTTAACTAATCAGCTATGTTCCTATTATTCTGTCTCCATTCCTGTCCAGCAAGAAATGTAACTTTGAAGTAAGCAGTCTGGCTGGGGCTTTAGCTCAGCAGCATACGCACCTGCTTGGCAAGCCCAAGGTCATGAGTTTGATTCCCGGTACCAAAAACAAAAACAAAAACAAAAACTGACCAATCTGCTTTTGTTTTGTTTCTGCTTTCTTCAGCTTTTTTGTCTCTACAATTCAATTAGCAAAAACAGGCCAACATACTGTACCAGCACAGAAATTAAACCCATTTATAAATTACAAAATAAATTCCATTTAGTTGCAAATCAAAACCACACAAAGTCACAGTAAAACGACAATGAACAAGTGTTGGTGAGGGAGGAGAGGAAATAGAAACCTCACACTTTGCTGAGCGGAATGGAAAATGGTGTAGACACCAGAAACAGGATCATTAAACAGTTAAACCAAAGCAGAAATTATCTTAGGAAAAAAATGGCTGAATAAAGTTCACTGTTCTGTTTCATTACATTTAATTTTATGTCCTCTTAAAACTCTTTACATTTACCAATATTTCTGCATTTCCTATCTATTCTGGTCTAGTGTTCAATGATGCTAAGCTTTGAGTGGTCTTTTTTGTTTGTTTTTTTGTTTTTATCAGTACCAGGGATCAAACTCACGGCTGCCTGCTTGCAAGGCAGGCGCTTATGCTGCTGAGCTAAATCCCCAGCCCCCTTTTGAGTGGTCTTTTATCCTTCTCCTTACACGTTTTTTTGGTACTAGGGATCGAACTCATGACCTGAGCTAAATCCCTGTCCTTAATTGTTTTTTTGAGACAGTGTTTCACCATGCAGTTCAAACTGGCCTTGAACTCACCAGGCTGGCTTCCAACTCAAAGGGATCCTTTTGCCTCAGCCTCCCATGTGCTAGGATTACAGGCATGCATCAGCTTACCCAGTCTATTTCTCTCACTTTTTAAATGGAGTGGGACTTTCTAAATGAGATATAAGAAGCCTCTGTCCTCTCTCCCATGATATGACCAAAAGATAAGGTGAAAGCTTAAATTTAAAAAATTTTACTATAGTAAAAGACATATTATCATTAATCCCTATCAAAGTAGTGCTTTCAGGCTGGGTGCGCTGGCACTTACCTATAATCCCAGCACTCAAGAGGCTGAGGCATGAGGATCACTGGGAGTGCCAGGCCAGTTTGGGCTACATAGTAAGTTCAAGGCCAGTCTGAACGACAAAGCAAGACCATCTCTAGCCCAAAAAAACCTTTTCACTCTTCCCTTTAATTCTGCACACAGAATCTAGAACACTATAGGCACAGTAAAGCACGAAATGATGTGTCAAACAATGAAAGTTGCAATAGAAAAGTGGTCCTGTCAACACGTTTATCCCACGGTCTTGCCATTTTCTAAAGCAGTTCTGGAAGGCCTCTCCGTTCTCTCCACTGGTGCAACCACAGCTGCCTCCATGTCCTGAACTGATTCAAGAATGTCGCATGGTCCTGTTGACTTTGGGGAACAGCCAGAGGGTGCATGGAGACAAAGCCCGTGAACAAGGTGGGTGAGGACAGAAATGTCTTAATGTGACAGCGTACACTGTAAACTGCTTCGGAAACCGGCACAATGGGATGAGTGTGCTTGAAGCCAGGGGAGCATTCTGAGGGGGATTAATGGCAAGGCGTATTTTATTACAACAGATTTTTAAAATTTAGACATTTATCATATTTGTAAAATTGCACTAGATAAAAGCGGGACTGCTCAGTGACCCAGAGGACTCAGCTACCTGGATCCTCTGCACCCTCCTGCCCCCAAACCAAGATACCAACATCCTTCTCGACTTAGCAAAGCGCTGTTGAGCCGACTGGATTTTTCTATACCTTTTCCTCCTTGTTGGCACAAATCATTTTCATCACACATTTTGTTTTCCTTGTGGTCACTGCATGGTACATTGGGGTGAAGGCGGTTGAATAGATCTTCACGTTGTCTTTTCCATATTTATGAATGGCCTCATCTACAATGAACATTGAAAAAAGCATTTATCAAAACTAAACAATCAACTGAGAGATGTTTGGAAATACATAACCTGAACCAATCATAAGGAAGTACCAAACAAACCAAAATAAACAGCATTCTAAAATATAGATGTCAGCGTCAGTTGAGACCAAAAAAAGGCTAAAACATTTTGTCTGTGTTTTAAGGGAGACCAGAGGTAGAAAAATGACATACTATCTATTATCCTAGAGTGAATTCTAGACTTAGGGAAAAAATATTGAAAATGACATAAATGAGATAATTGGTAAAATTTGCATAAGGTCTAGACTTGAAAACTGTACTGAGCCTGTTCTTTAAAAATACATAGCTGGGCACAATGATGCAAACCTGTAATCCCAGCACTCAGAAGGCTGAGGCGAGAGGATCACAAATTCAAGTCTAGCCTGGATTAAACAGTGAGTTCAAAGCCAGCTCCAGATACAATTAAGCCAAAACATTAAGGATATACATGAGTCTTTTGTACTCTTTCTGTAACTTTAAGTGTGATTGTAGTTCAAAAAATAAAAGCTAAAAAACAAAATAAATAGAATGTGTAGGGAAAAGAAATTGTACTCTCAAGGATGAGCAGCTTTGTAGTAAACCAAAACTATGATTAGAGATTCACCAAAAAGAAATGGGTGAGACACGGTGACACACAGCTACCCTCCAAACCCTGCCAGAGGCTGAGGCAGAAGGATCACTGTGACTTCAAGGCCAGCCAGGGCTACACAGTGGTTTCAGGGCCAGCCTGGATTACATAATAACATCCTGTCTTAAAACACAAACAAGAAAGAAAGGAGAGACAGGGAGGGAGGCAGACAGACAGACAAAAGGAGAAGCCAGGCATGGTGGTATACACTAGTAGTCTCAGCACTTAAGAGGCTGATCCTCCTCGGAGTTCGAGCCTGCCTGTGCAGCACACAAAGATACTGTCTAAAACGAATAAGTAAAAATGAAAAGCATAACTCAAGAGATTGAGACGGATTTACCTGGTTGACAGAGACCTAGCTCACAGAAAGAAATCACAAACGCCCTTCACCTTTAAGTACCTACCTTCCGTGAGCCCCACTGTCCCAATAGGAGGGTGACTGAAGACCACAGTGGGGATGTTGTCATAGTCCAACTTGGAATCTTCTTTGCATTCGAAAAGTCTATGGGCAAGTTTTCGGCCAGCAGCTATTGCAACTGAAGAGATATTTTAAAGTTAGTGTTGATCTTACTGTTCACTCTAACAGCAAAACTATTCTACCATCCTTTAGATACCTGGCATAACACACTGGCTCTACGTTTTATGCCATATCTCATGATAACAGCTAGTGTAACATAATGAAACTGTATCAATGCCCTAGCAAGCCACTCAAAACTACTGGCTTAAGCGAATTCTGTATAGTCTATTATGAAAACAAAACAAAAAACATACTTTAAGTTCCCAATTGCCTGGCAGCCTATTAATATCAGTTTTCTGCTATGATATTTATGGAGCTAGGTATAGTAGTTTTGTACATTTTCAGTTCATAATACACTCATTTCATTATATGTTAAGATTTTTTAACTTGGGCTGGGGATGTGGCTCGGGGGTAGAGTTCTTGCCTTATATTTACAAAGCCCTGCGTTCAATTCCTACCACAAAAATAGGGAAAAAAAGATTTTTTTAACTTAAAAATTTACTCTCCTTAACTGTTTTTACTCCTAATGGTCCTTTTAAAAAAGGGTCTGAACTCAACAAAGAGCTACTTATTAATTTTAAATTGACAGTTTTCTGCTGAAATAACTAAAGGATACATAAGAAATGCTAAATTCCTGATATACTTTTCAATGTTTAGATTATGCTATGACATTTTTGAAACTTAGCTTGCTGTTTTATTTTTGATAAAACTACTTCCTGATGAAGGATATAAAATTCTAGTTGGGGAGGGAAGTAGCGCAGGGGTAGAGAACTTGTCTAATGTGTGCTATGCTCTGAATTCAGTCCCTAACAGAAGAAAAATTATTTTAGCTAAAAAAAAAAAAAAAAAAAATCCAAGAGATCTACTGCACTATATACTATTTTTCTTCCATTCATAAAACTTTTGTTCCACTTACATCACTTACATGAACTTAATACATGTATTCTTAACAATTATGCTTTGATGGTTGATGAGAACTGAAGACATTAAAACCTAGCTAGTCATCATCTCAACTAAGTTCCCTTTTTTGTTTTTTGGCTTTTTAAGACAGGGTTTCACTATATAGTTCAGGCTGGCTATCAATAAAGTTGAAGGCAGAGTAGATGCTGTTGATGAGTTTTACAACAACTATATGTTACTCGAAACACAAAACATTGGCCAATTACTGTTTTACTTGCTCCTAAGCATATGTAGCATAAATAGTTTGACAGTTTACAAAGAAAATAACAAGTGAAAAACATGGAGAAATTTTCTTACAGGATTGGGACTGAATTTATAAAACATCATTTACAGAAGAGAAAAAATGAAATGTTCTGCGCAGAGAACTATGTGAAACAATTATGGCGCCCACTGGTGAGCTGACAGGTGAACGGACAGGCTCAGCATCACAAAGACCTACTATGACTATAGGAAAACCAACAAGATGCAGAGAGTGCCCTACAAGAAAGGACAGAGAAACAAAACATAAGTGCTATCTGTATAAGCGATACTTGTGCACAGAATATTCAATTTTCTTGTGAGATCTCCTGGGGTATGACAATCGAAGCAAAGGTTATTTCTGTTGTATAGTCCTTTTGGTATTTTCCAAATAGTTCACACAGGTTTTTAGTTCTAATGTTAAATTAGGTTTTTTAAGCAAGTAAATAGCTGATGTGAAAATGCCGATATCTATACTAAGCACTCACTACACATCTGATATTTTACTGATACCTTATTTCCTGCTAAGTGCACATTATACAACATAGCAGGGAGCTCCCAGCAAAACCAGAAGAGACGTGACAAGAATGGTCAGTCATATAGGAAAGGAAAGCTGAGCACATGTGCTGTCATGCAGTTGTCATGTGTGAAGTCTGCACTGGTTGTGACAGCTGAAGAAAAGATAATTTCTGTGACAGACTTTTGTGTTTACACTTTAGCTCACAAAGTTTTTCTAATGCTATCTCTTATTTTAAATTTTATTTTAAAGGGGATAAGCAATAAAACAAAACAGTAATGAGACAATAGGAAATACACAATACTATATTGCTTATTGCTGTCCTCTAAGTAGTTGCTCAGACTTGGCTTTAGGCTTGCAAAGTTGATCAAACAATACAAGTGTTACGTTGTTCCTGTACTTTATAGTTATTACCATCTCAGTCTGTGTTCTTCAGAATCAGCCAGTCACTTACGGGTGTGTGTGTCTATCTGTCTGTCTGTCCTCCTTCCTGTTTCTCCCCGGCCGGCAGGGCCACTTCTGGGACACTTATCTCTTAGGTTTTGTACACAAGCATACAGCTGACCTGAAAATGTTGATGTCTTCTCTAAGCACTCACTACACATTTGATATTTTAATACTTAAGTGTGATAGCTGAAGCAAAGATTTTTTTTGTAGAGTACTATTTGTATTTTCATTGTAGTAAATATAGGAATTTATTTCTGTTATTTTTTAGGATTTGTAAGTAAATAAACAGCTTATGTGAAAATGTTCATATTTATGCTCAACATGAAATATACATTAAGAATTTGATACTTTATTTTCTTGATATTTTATGTTCCTGTTAACTACACACTGGAAAATATAGTAAAAACCTCTTGACAAAACAGCAAGACCAGCCCTATGTCAAGTATGTCCTACAAAAAGATTAGAAAAGCAAAATAAATGTCCTGCCAATGTAAGGGATACATGTGCATGGAACATGCTGCTGTGAAGACTGCCTTAGGTGTGATAACTGAAGATTAATTTTTTTGTAGAGTGCTATTGGTATTTTTATTATAGTTCACATAGGAATTTATTTCTATTATTACTTTTTGGATGTTGTATATCAAACACCAATTGATGCTCAAAATTTTGATGCTTTTTTATAAACAATAAAAGTATTAAAAATACATTATTTTTGTGATTTTTTTCCTTTTAAGCACTCATTGTTTAATATAATAAAACTTGTAAAATTAAAATTAGTAATTTATCAATAGAAAAAAATCTTTTTGAGACATGGTCTTGCTATGTGGTGCAGGCTGGCCTTGAACTTGCTATTGTAGATCAGGCTAGCCTCAAATTCACGGTCATCCTTCTGCCTCAGTCTCCCAAGCACTGGGATTATGGGCATGTACCATCACATCTGGCATCAACAGAAATATTCTAAAGAATAAATGTGCATGTGACATACCCGTGATTATGCTGCTTTTTGACAAAAAATGTGTTATGCTCCTTCACTGGCTTGACTTAGCCTTCCACAATGTGTTTTTCAAAATGTCATGTTGTATACCAAACATATAACTTTTATTTAATTAAAAAATGAATCAGGGAGATAGCTCAACCACTTGACTAGCATGCACATGGCCTTGGGTCTGATCCAGACCACAAATAAGTAAACAAACAACTTCCTAAAGGAGACTTTAGGGTTTGGGTATGTGACAATAATTTTTCATCTAGAGGTAAAACCCCAGGAACATTTTGAAAGGCCGGTTAGGCTCTGCACAGGAAAGGGTTGAAAGCAGATAGTGATATCGCTGACAGACAGAGGAGGGACAGAGTTTCCTATGTACTCTTTAACTCAGGAAGTGGAAGTCAGTCTTGGCTGCATCAGATACACCTAAGAGAATGTGGATCTAAATTTCTTCTTCCAAAAGTCACTTCTGACACCACACACAGCTCCGAGGCTGACAACAGAGTTCTTCAGAGGTGGTCCTATTATTTACATGAAAATTTTAATCTTCTCTATTAAGTCTTTTAAAGAAAGAATGACCATCATCCAGAAAATGTCAGGTATCCAACCAACAACTATTTCCATACATTTTCACCATTTTGACAAGACAAAAACACTCGTCCTTTTGGCTCCAGCAAAGTGAAGGGCAGGACAGTTTCATGCAGTACATGGAGCCTCCTCTCCGTGAGAGCTAGGAAGGAGCGTTACCTGGAGTCAGAAGCGCTTTCCCACACACATCGCCAACTGCGTAGATGCCTTTGACACTGGTGTTCTGGAATTCGTCTACTATGATGTGGCCTTTCTCATCAGTTTGAATTCCCTAAAATTATGAAGGAACAGCACGTGAATACTGGATCCATTGACCAACACCGGCGGATCAAACCTTTGGATTTGATATGACAAAGTCCAATTAAACTGGTTGAGTGATGCTCAACCATCAGGAGGGACTACTTGCTGTGGGGTGGAGGTGCCTCTAAGATGTGTTTTTAACCTTTACCACTGGATGCTCCTGAGACAGGCCCCTGTATACCTCAGACACAGCCTGAAGCAATCACATAGCACACTCCTGTTATTTTTAAAAACCCAAATAAATTTTCCACTCTATTATAACACATTGTTTCCCATAATCGTTTCCTCGAGGCACTGTGAGGGCAGAAGGCAGAGCAGATCATCCAGAGAGGCTTGGTGGTTCAGAATACAGCTTTGGGGCTGCGGCCTTTGCTGGTGGTGGTGGTAGGGGGGAGACAGACTGGATGCCATTCCCAGCTCTGTCACTTACTAGGAAGAAGACCTTAAACAGCCACCTACTTATCACCTAATGCGTGAACTTCTACTGCAAAGGATGGCTTAAGTTATGAAAATAAAGTGATACTGGACATCTTTCTTTCTCCATAGAAGTTACAGTCCGAAAAGTTACCTGTTATTTCTGTATTCCTGGCTTCCTCATCTGCAGTCATAGGTAAGGAAAGATTTTTGCTCTAAGATAACTTTTTAAAATTTATTTTAGATTTTTAAAATTTAGATTCATTTTATTTAGATTTTTAAAAAATAATCTATACTAGGGCAAAAAAAATCTATACTACGGCAAGAACCTTTCAGGTAAGACTAAGATTAAACTGGATTATTAACACATTGCTAAGTCCTATCAAATGGTAATCATTCAATCTGCAGTATACATAGCTTAGTACTATTTGACACCAAATAATGTTTTCGCCTTATTATTTAAAAATTCAGCAAATACAGTTGAAAATTAGACCTACCAATGCCTATATTTGTATAAAGGCAAAATCGGGCCTAAAAGGTAAAAAGCTGGATGACTAATTTTATTACTAAAAAAACACAACTTGTTCAACTAAAGTTCATTATGAATAAGACTGAAAACAAGTCAAGCATGTCCCTGAATATTTTATTATTAAAATGCTTAAAAAAAAGAGCCAGGCTCCTGGTAGCCAATGCCTATAATTCCAACACTGGGGAGGCTGAGGCAGAAGGCATCTCAGTGCACTCAAGGCCAACCCGAACTACACAATGAGACCTTGTCTCAAAGATAAAGTAATAAAACTATAAAATGCTGGAAAATATACAGGGAACATATGTAAGTTAAACCCCCAGCACCAAAAAATTAATAATGATAACAATCATTAAAATGTTTAAAAATGATCTTTTATAGACTTGAGAAAGAAATCTGTAATAGAAATTATTTTATAATATAAATGAGAATGTTATATACCATTCAGTTCCATCAAGTGTGCAAACCTCAAACATAAAACATTCCATTTTGCTAAAAGAATAGTGTATCAGAAAAACCATCATGATGAACAGCAGCAGCAACATCCACAGTGTTCTGCTGGGAATTTAGCTCAGCAGCATAAGTGCCTGCCTGGCAAGCGTGAAGTCATGAGTTTGATCCCTGGTACCAAAAAAAAAAGTAAAATTTCAACATTTATTATGTTCATACTGGAAAGCCAGGAGCTAACTACTTTGCCTGCACGGTCATATTCATATATATTTTTTATATATATATATACTTGGGAACTCTTTTTGAGACAGGATTTCACTGTGCTGTTCAAGCTGGTCTTTGCAGCCCAGACTGGCCTCAGACACCTGTAGCAATCCTGCCTCAGCTTCTCAGTGCTGAGATTGCAGGCATGCAACACCTTGTCCCAACACTTACTCTTTTTCATAACCCAAGGGGCAAATACTGTTTCTATTACCAACCTGCAGATCAAGCTATTCAATTAATTTAGGAAAAATACCTGCTTGCTTAAGGCTATGCAACTGTTAAGTAATAGAACAAGGTTCAAATTCAGGCCAAACTCTGGGAACCACACCCTAGCCTAGCAGCTAGACTTAAAAAATTTAAAGAACAAAGAAGACTGTTGTCTGTGCAGAGGTTGCCTCAGTGCTACAACAGGGACACACACAACATCCTGGATTAGACACTGTGGGCGAGATGGGATCAGTGTAGGACTTTACAGCAACATCTGAGTAGTGAAAAGGAAGTCTTTGAGACAGAAGCAGTCAGGAAATTGATGGACAATCTTGATTGGAATCCCTCCACTCAAATCCCTCCAATCCAGGGTTATAGCACCAGAAAGAGAAAATATTTCAGTTATACGATTTGAAGACAACACAAAACAGAGAAGACAATTCAAGTTTTGCATGGGCAGCCAAGGGGGAGTGGTGGAAAGCACAAGGTGACTAAAGGATTCAAGAATGTTTGGGCACACTACATAGCTTACCAGCTTGTCTAAATTCAGGCCCTTGGAATTGGGGTCCCGCCCAATGGCCCAGAGCAGGCAGTCAACATCTGAAATTGAGGTCAACGTGGGTTTCCTACCAGGAACTGCCGTAACCACGCTGAGTTCCAAGCCCGTAGAGGTTTTGTTTACTTCCTTGACCTATTGACAGACAAAATATGTTAAATAAGAATGGTGGGGTACTGGGAGAAGAAAGTGGAAAAGCAAACAGGGGGGAAAATAAAATTTTTAGCATTAAAAAACAAAACCTATGCTGAAATTTCCAGCTGACACAGATACTTTTACCCAACAGCACCAACACTAGAACCCCAGGAGACAGGGTTATCTTCTGGATGGCCCTTTGTGTAGTACTGGGGATTAAGCCCAGAGCCTTTACTCTGTGCTATACCCTCAACCAACACCATCCACCTCTTTAAAAAGTTTGTTAAAAAAAAAAAATCTGGGACAGTGTCTTCTAAATTGTTAAGTTACCTGTGCTGAACTCAAACTTACAATCCTTCTGCCTCAACTGTCCACAGCAGAGGGATTTTAGGCATGTACCAGCCAGCATGCCCAGCTTCCTGGATTGCACTTTAAATCTTCCAGCCATGACCAAGAACCTCAATTCCTGTCATCATCTCAATGATTCAATTTTTAAATTTTAAGCCAGACATGGTGGTACATCCCTGTAATTGCAGCACTCAGGAGGCTGAGGTAAGAGGATTGCTGTGAGTTTGAGGGCAGCCTGGACTACAAAGTTGAGTTCAAGGCCAGCCTAAACTGCACAGCAAAACCCAGTCTCAAAGATGGGCGGGGGGCACTTTATAGTGTACTTCTTTAAAAATACGGTGAAATTTAAGTAATAAATCTAACCACAGTGACTGGAAGTGGGCCATAGCAGTGTCACTTGGAAACATCTCCAAACTGCTGGGTCATCGCTCTTTACTGCACATTCTTAATCAGCATGGGGAAAGGGAGTAAGAATCTAGGCAGGAGAACCACACACACACAACCAGTCATCCCCTGGTATCTGCTCAGGGGACTGGTTCCAGGACCCTCCAAAGACACCAAAGTCAAAAGATGCTCGAGTCTCTAACATAAAATGCCACAGTATTTCCATGTAACGTATGAACACCTTCCTGTACGCTCTAAGTCATCTTAAGATTGCTTTAATGCTAAATGCAATGCAATGCCTATAATCCTGGGAGGCTGAGGAAGGAGAATTTCCAAGTCTGAGTCCAGCCTGGGTGACATTAGTAAGTTCAGGACCAGCCTGAACTACATAGTGAGATCCTGTCTCAAAAAAACAAAATATTTTTTAAAAAAATGCAATGTAAATGTTAATAAATGCACTGTAATTGCTGTTAGACTATTATCTGGGGAATCTTGGCAAGAAAAAAGGTCTGTACATGTTCAGTGGATTCCATTTCCCCTGATCCTTGCTGATCCTCAGTCAGCTGAATCCATGTTTATAGAGCTGACTGCAAGATGCAGTGAAGGTCTTAAGAGCCTGATGGTGACACGTCCCACTAGTCCAGCATTTTCACATCCATAAAGTACAATCTCATTGATTATTTCACTGGACATGGTCTACAGTGAAAGGGTAAACATGTGTATGGATGAGGCAATTGTTTTTTACAAAGTTAATTCTTCAAGGGAAGTGTGCTGAAATTCAAGTATTTCATTGAAGAGAGTGAAGTACTTTGTAATTCTTTCCATACATCAAATCCAAAAAATACATGCCTTAAAAATAGGTGGTGCTCTCTTAAGGGGTGACAGGAAAAAAAAAAAAGATTCCATGTGATTTTCTGAAAAATAAGATATAAATCTCAAAAATAAGGACGTGTGAAAAGGCTGATGAGTAGGAATGTAAGTTTTAGTTCTAAATTCAACTGCCAGGCTTTTATACCTTAACTTCATTAATACATTAATATGAAATATGGCTTCTTTTTTTTTTTTATCGGTACCGGGGATCGAACTCACGACTGCCTGCTTGCAAGGCAGGCGCTTATGCTGCTGAGCTAAATCCCCAGACCCCAAAATATGGCTTCTTAATAAAGAAAAGAGACTCACAGTTCTCTGACTGAAATAAAGAGCTCGTGTTCATTTATAAACCTGACTGAGGGCTGGGATCTGGAGCTCAGTTGCAGAGCATCTTCTTATCATGCCTGCAGCTCTGGGTCTGATTCCCAGCCCTGCAAGAAGCAAAACAAGAAGAAGTGTGATCCCCAGCCACAGATGAGCAGACCAGGGGCACACACACCTGTGAATACTTCAGGACCTCCACCCCGGCGTTCTCCAGCTCTTCGGTGCAATTGGAACTGATCAGGGAATCAAAGTTTCTAAGTACCTGTGTACAAATGCAGGGTGCAGGGGACAGGCAGTAGAAAAGAAAGAACATTTGATTAAAGATGCGGTACAAACTCATGAGGGCAATGTCAGTACAGTATTATCCTTCCTTTTATTTCTTCCTTCAATCAAGGCTACAGTGGGAGCAGTTTTGATAAATCCTGCTATCCTACATCACCACCAAGGTCTCTATTGCCATTAACTTTCTCAGTTCCTGTTTCAGAATCTAAAACAAATGAACAGTCAACTTTCAAGTCTGTATCATCTTCATCCTCCCCTCTTCCAAGTTTGCTTCTCTCTTAGAAAGTGTTGGGAACAGAAATTTTCTTCCCTGTTGGTGTCCAAGGGCCAACCTTCCCTCTGATGTGACTGAAGAGAAGGTCTTCTAGCAAAATATACTTATCCAGCTAGAAATCACAGCTTGACCTCAGAGACTTCCCGGTGCTAAAGCACACGCAACACACCACACAGGAGGTCAGGAGTCACTTTGCAGTGGCTGTAGAAGAGTGATACCAGGACAGGGCAGAGGGAATTACCTGGGCCTTAGAGATGGAGAGGGCAGGAAGCCTAGTACTGTGGCCCTCTGCAGAGGCAGGAATCAGTCCCTGCACAGGTGGCACCGCAGCACTTCACTACCATAGCTGATAAACCGGCCGGCTATCCTGCCTTTCCTCCTCTTTTCAGCTTACTGAGTATATTTCAGTAACGCAAAATCATGTTCATGAAAATCACTATTTAAGACATGAATCTCCCTAAGGCTAATTGGGAGTGCATGCTAACTAGGATTGTCAGTATCCCGCATGTCTCCCCATCTGTTCAAATTAAGAATTAAGAGCCAGGTGCACTGGCAAATCAACCAAAGTAATGTCAACTATTTGGGAGGTTGAGGCAAGCTGGAGTTCAGTCTGGGTAACTTCATGAGATCCTGTCTCAAAAAATAAAACTCATAAAGTACTGGGGGCAAAGCTGAGTCATAGACTATTAGCCTAGATGCACCAGGCCCTGAGTTCAATCACTGGCACCACAACATCAGAATTAGAATCATAGTATTTGAGTGATGAGGGGTTTGATAATTCTTATCCCTACAGAACTAGGCCCAAGTCACAAGTCTGTTAGGGTCACTGGGGGAGACGGTGTTGGGTTCCTAGGCCAACACTTTCATTACTGTCCCACATCTGCTTGATCAAAGCTCTGACATGGTGCCATTGTAACAGCACTGACCAACTCCAGACAGAAAGCAACACTCAACCAGGCAATGACAAAGATGCAGGTCACATCTGAGCAGAAAGAGCACTGGCTGGGGTGTTCTCAAACCTCAGCTGATTCCAGCTTTGCTACTAGTAGATCAGTAGCCGCGAAACCTCTCCTGTCCTGAATTTCTTCATTCAATAAAATGAAATTCAAGCAGATAATCTACAAGGTTTTCTTTCACTCGAAGAAATCAGTGAATTGTCTGGATTGAGCAATAACAGGCCAACATTACCTTTCATGTGAAATTCATTTCTGGAATTCAGAAATTAACATGGTAGGATATTTAAGTAACACTTATACTATCCAATAACTATCATTTCATGATGAAAATTCTAGGCAAAAAGGAGAAAATACGAGCCAATTTGATCAACTTAGAATTTCATCAACATGCAGATAGATGGGAAGGATGGAAGGTGGAATTGGACAGGTCACACGTGGCCCATGTGGCACTGAGCAACAGATGTAACCACCATGCCCTAATATGTAACGGTGACCTAAGAAAAAAAATGCCTCCTAAAAACAAAAGCCACCCAGGTGAAGGACAAGACCCACTTTATCATGCCGTATCATGAGTGCTGTCTTAGAGCCCAGGGCGGAGAGGATCCCGGCTATCTCCACAGCGATGTAACCAGCGCCCACGATGACACTGCGCCTACAAGAAAGCCGGGGTTAATGTTTTAAAATGAACTTATTTTGGGGGCAGTCCACTTCCCAGGCCCACCTTTGTCTCTTAGACAGCAACTATCACTCAATAAACTCTTCCTACCCTTAACAAAAGAATCACATGATAAAATAAACTTACTTGGAAATAAATTTAGATTTGCAGACAAGGTGCAAAGAAATGATGACACTTTCCTTATAGCTCTGTGCTCAGCTATCTTGAAAGTTAACATTTCATACAATGCTGGTACATTTGTCACAATTAAGAAGCTCACAAGAACATTACTGCTGACTAAACCCTAGATCACAGATTTCATCAATTTTTCCATTAATCTCCTTTCCTGTTCCAGGTGCCACATTATACATTTAAAAAGAAAACACTGCTCTGTAGAAGTGAAATATATTTAACTTGTTTTAAAAGATCTTTGTCCTTTTTTTTTGAGACAGGGTCTTGCTATATAGTTCAGGTTGGCCTTGAGTTCCACGCAATCTTGCATCAGCCTCCAGAGTGCTGGGATTACAGGTATGTGCCACCACACCCAACCTCTTTTTTCTTTTTGTTTTGAGAGAAGATAAAAAACCTTTGAAATTTGAGATGACTCCTTACGTAATGATCCCAGCACCTAAGACTAACATGGGGCCAGGATTCTTTGATTCCTTATTCTCCTGTGCAACACATTTCTCCTTGATCATCACTCAGTTCTATCTTTGCAATATGATCAAACTGAACTTCCTGAATACACTTTGGTTTAAAAAAGAATCTTAGGTCTTAGTTAAGTGCTCAGATGAAGGCCTGAATCAGTGATAAAGTAGCTGTCACTGGACCAAGGGCAGTGCTTGCTGCCATGCTGTAGCCTAGAGTGCAGGGGTCCCACAGTAGGAGAGTCATCCTGTGTGTGGCTGCATCCTCTCAAGCATCAGATGCATCCTCTCCCATTGTCATGGTATGTGGGGAAGAAGTGTTCAGAGAAGCTCAGTGTTAAAGGCACATGCCTATAACCCCAGCATTCAGGGAGGATGAGGCAGGAGGATCAGAAGCTTAAAGCCAGTCACAGCAACTCAGTCATTGGCAAGACCCTACCCTACCTCAAAATAAAAAATACAGTGGGCTGGGGATACAGGTCAGTGCCAAGGCATCGGGTTCCTCCTGAGTACGGAGGCCAGGGGGAAGCTCAGGAGATGGAGGAATCTTCCAAGACCTTCCTTAGGCAAAGTACCCATATTCTGTGTCCAGTCTCCAGAAGGCTTTTGGTCTAGATGTGGAGTGCAAGTCTGAGACAGAAGGGTCACTTGATCCCCAGAGCTCACGATCAGCTTGGGGCACTGTCATGGCTTATATCTAGATGTCCCCCAAAGCTTCATGCACTCTAGGGTGGGGCTTTTCAAAGGTGGCTGGTTCTAGAGTATGTGATGATGGGATTCAGGGTGGGATGCTAGGATTAAGGCTACCTCTCTTTGGGTGTGAGTGCTACCTGTTCCAAGGGCAAATGGCCTGAATAGGACGTAAGGGACTGAAAGCGGCTACTGCTTTCAACTACTGCTTGCTACTTCACTGCTGGTTGTCCTCTGCCTACCCTGCTTTGCCATGGACTGTTGGTTTGTCCTCTGTGATTCCTCTCTGCCATGCTGCCCTGCCTTGGAGCCAGGTGTGGACTAACCCTCCAGAAACTGTGAGCCAAAATAAACCTCCTTGAACTTGGGGTGCTGGTTATTTTGTCTCTGCAACAAGAAAAGTAACTAAGACTGTGAGACCCCCCATCTCAAAAAATGAAAAGAACAACATCAGAAAATGTTTTTGTGGGAGTGATAGAGCCCTCATTAATGGAGAGCCTTCTGTATTAGCTGCCTAGAAAAATCCGGAATCAGTTACTTTAGATGTTATTTAGTAGACGCCATGCCAGTTAATGAAAGACGAGAATTTACTAGTGAGTTCTAAACATTACCCTGACTCGAGTTTTAAAGTATTCTGCAATAGCCTCTGTCCAAAAGCCCCAGAGATAGGAGGGATGGATCTACTGAAGGGTATTAGTGGATGAAATACTCAAGGTCAGAGAAAGAGAGGAGGTTAGAGAACTGAACTCAACAAATGCCTACAAATGGCTCACAGTAGGCGGGAGAAGACTTGTTCCCAGGAGACACTGAGGAAGACTGAACCACTGAAGCGTGTCTGCTTACCTTGGCAATTCTTCCAGCTGAAAAAACCCATCGCTGGTTATGCCTAGGCTTGCACCTATGCAGAAAAACAGTCTAGATCACACAAGATCACACTTTCTCTTGTAAAATAAGTACGCTTTGTGGAAGAACCAAACACATTTTTAACATCAACATACTTTCTGTTCCGACTTTCTGTTTTGTTTTCTTTCTGCCCTCCAAGTGAGAAGCTGCTGACAACGTTTTTCTTTCTTTTTGGCAACAGGGTCTCACCAAGTTGCCCAGGCTGGCCTCAAACTTGTGATCCACCTGCCTTTTCTCCTGAGTTTGTCGGGTTACTGGGGTACATCACCTCAGCTGACTTCTGAGTCAACATCTTTATTTTCTCTCTCCAAACAGCAGAGTGAGGACTGTAACTGCGTGAACAGACTCCACAGCCTTTGGGCCCTCTCCTCACTCCAATGCAGGCAGGAAGGAAGCCTTGGGCCATGGCTCTTGACACTACCTTTTTATTCAAAGGTTACAAGTAAACCTCACTGTGGAGGACCTCCAGATACACACTTCCAATTTGATCCTCTCCTCAAATCCCAGTCCTGGAGTTCTAGCTTTACTGACATATAAGTCTACCTTGCTTCAAACTCAGGGTTGAGTATCCTTTATCAGAAATGCTTGGGACCAGAAGCATTTCAAATTTCTGACTTCTGGCTTTAGAACATTTGCAATTTATATAATCAGACACCTTAGGGCAAAGCCCAAGTCTAAACATAAAATTGCTTCATGTTTTCTACATTCCTTACACACAGCATGGAGGTAATTATTCAAAATTTTAAAATAACTTTGGACACAAACAAAGTTTTTATGGCACTGGATTTTCTACTTGCAGCATCATGTTGGCCCTCAAAAAACTTAAGAGGACTCTACAGCATTTTACATTTTGTAGCTTTGGATTAGGGAATGTATATTTAAAATTAAATCTTATTTCTCAACTCAAATCCCTGTCAAGGTGGCCATTTTAATGAAAGGAATCAGCTTCCCCCAAAGAACTTCATTGTCAATCTGTGATTCCTTCTTTCAAGCCCCCCAATATCTCATCAGTTAATAAATACTGTATGTCCCTCCCCCAGTCCTGGGATTGAACCCATGGCCTCATGCATGCGTGGGGAGTGTTCTACCTCCTAGCTACCTCCCCAACCCAAAATACTGCATTTTACCAGCTCTAAGCACCGTGATTACAAGACCTATCCTGATTTCAGAGGGGAGGGGAAGGAATATAGTTTTGTATGATTTTTTTTTTTTTTTGATCCAGGGATCAAACTCACTATCTTGCACTTGCCAGGCAGAAGCTTATGCTGCTGAGCTAAATCCCAGCCCCTAGGAATATAGCTTTTAATGTGTGTCTTGGAATCAATGAGATACATTTCCTGTGTCTTTTAGGCCTGCTTTCTTCTCCAGCCCCTGGCATCACATCGGGGACTCAGCGGCTGGAGTAGAATGGAGCAGAAACGTCCCATCCTGTGTGGCAGGCAGCACACACCGCCTCAGGACCACGACCCCACTTCTGGCACTGGCTCCCGGGCAGGTTTCCACCCAGTCCTCTTCTCCTATGTGCTCTCCCTTTCAAGTCAGTGCCGAATGATTTTCTCAAATGATCACGTAGACCACACCACCACTCTACAAGCCAGTATTGGTCACAGTTACTCTTCAGCCTGATGAGTCGCAGAGGTCTGGCTCCAGTCTCAAAGCATCAGTGCTACTGAATGCGCTTCAAGGACACCTTCATTCCTGTCCTCTCCCTCAGCCAGTCATGCCCACCATGGGAGCCTCTTCCCTACCCTCTTCCTACTCATGCCAGCCCAGAGGACTCTGTCCTGCTTCTGAGCGCCTCAACCCGCAATCTACTAACTGGACTTTACAGCATTTGTATTTAGTGTTCACATTTGTTTTTTTCTTTTAAATTAATGAAGGTACAGGTTAAAAATTTCAAAAGTGCATGTGGAAGTGTAGCTCAGTGGTGGAACAGTGCTTAGCCTCCATGACCCCAACACCACCAAGAAATATGGGGCCTGTGGTAGCAGGCACTGTATATCCCCGACCCACTGGGGTTCTGAGCATCCTTCCATTCCTATACCACACAGGTCTCCTTGTCATTGAAACAGACACAGAATGCTCAGTGTCATGGTGCATGCCTGTAATCCCAGCACTCAGGAGGCGGAGGCAGGAGTGCCATGAGTTAGAGACCAGCCTGGGCCACAACGTGAGACTCTGTCTCAAAAAACCAACAAAATAAAAATACAAAAATAAAGACATAAATTGTAGCATACTACACACACTATTCCACCCCCCCCTTTTTTTGTTTAGTAATAAATCTTAGGGAGACTCTACTTATCAAGGATGCTTACACCCAATATTCCAAAATAAAATTTTAAGTTACTTAAGTATCTTTGTATCTCTTATGCTGATTGTTCTTTACCTTGAAGATCATAAATATTTTTCAAAGCTGATGAAAATGTACATATACTCTCTCCAGGGAGGAAAAAAATGCATAATCTTTACAATGTCCATGTACATTAAGGGAGCAGTCATATACTTCACGAAGCCAATTCACAGAGAATGTAAAGATTATAAACTATGGTCACATCCACAAAATTTTAGAATCTTGCTGAAGAGAAAGACATGGACATTCCTTATGAGAGACTATGCCAGTATGTCTGCGACTCATCACTAGGGGTTTAGGGTGCTTAAAATACAAAAGATATGCCTGGCAAGCATAAGGTCATTAGTTTAATCCCCAGTACCAAAAAAAAAAAAAAAAAAAAAGACATGACCTTATCAGAGATTTCTTACTAAATTAATCTTTTGCAGTTTTCTATATGAGACAAAAATATGACATAAAAAAGGTTAGATAAGCCACATTCTTTCAAGGTTCTCTCCCTTTAACAGTTTATCACATGTCATAAATACCAGCACATCTGACAAACTGAGGCTGAGAACAATTGAATCCAGGCTAGGAAGGAAAGGAGGCTGTTGCTGATTTTTTCTCCTTTTGTTTCCTGCATACATCTGAGCCTAGAGTTGGATCAAACACCTTCCTCTGTCCCATCACTAGCTACTACTTAGTTAAATATAGGTTCTGCAGAGCTCTTTCTTCCAGGAGAAAGCTCCCATGAACAGTGCGTGAGGGTGAAGGCTGTGTCGAAGCCTGCTGAGCACCCCTCAACACTCACCAGGGATCTGGCTCTCAGGAGGGAGCGAGGGCACGCCACCGGTGGCGATCAGGATGTGAGGAGCAGTGTACTTTTCCCCATTGACCTCTACCGTGGGCTGGGGGTCACTGGTGAATGATGCGTAGCCATGGATGATTTCTATATTGGACTGGAAAGAGACACCACGTTAGTCTATTCTTCAGATAAACAAAGACGCCTGCTTTAACATAGGAACTCTTTCATTTCTCCACTGAAGAGTTTCTGTTTGCAGATGCCAAAACATCTGTTGTTCATTAACTGACTTGCAACTGACACTCCAAATAAGGGGGTTGCAGCAGATGCCAGAAGTGCACACCAAGAAGAAATAAAGGTGCTGTCATGGGCCAAAACCCAGAAAGCAAAAAATACTTGCAAGTCACTCCCACAAGGAAAAAGGCAACAGCTTTTACCCCAATAGCTGAGGGAGAAAGTCTTCCTCACGGTGAAGACAGACTGAAAAATGATCTATCTGGGGGAGGGGAAGTTGGGTAAGGATGAGAAAAGACTGCAGGTGAGGGCAGCCTCTGGCCACAGGAAGAAGCAATGCTTCTGATTTCTCAAATGTAACCTTGGTGGAGTTCTCCACTGGAGCTGCAGAGCTCAAGACAGATCTGTTCTTACTGGCATCCTGTGTAGCAGCCACTCCAGTTGGGTAGGCTGGTGGGCTCCTGCCAGCCATGCTACATGTCCCGGCATGCACAAGTGGGTGGCTTAGGAGGCTAACAGAATGGTGCAGGTGTGATCAGACATTGGGACATTTCAACGTTTAGGAACATCTGGTTCTAAACCCAATTACTGCCTCCTTTCCAACCAGCCCTCCAGGTCTGTTCCAGGAGGTGCATGTCTTAATTAAGCCAAATTTAGGAAGATGCCAAAACCCACAAGCCTGCAGAGCATGTTTTCTTCAGGGTTAATGAGTTCCTGAGAGCTGCCAGACTGGCAAGTGCGTGGCCTGAGTGGCAGTCATACACATGGCAGCTTTGTATCACTTCCTACATTAGATGGAGAGTTTCTGCACTATGCAGAATTTCAGCATCAGCTATAATTCCTTCACCATAAGGTCCTTATAAGTTCCACTACACACACCCAAACTTCAAGGTATTAAAAACACTAATTTCTTAATAATTTTCTTATATTGCTCATGCTCTTTTGTTTGTTTTGTTTTTGGTACTGGGGATCGAACTCATGACCTTGCACTTGCCAAGCAGGTACTTATGAGGCTGAGCTAAATCCCCAGCCTTTCATGCTCTTTTTTTTCTTTGGCAGCACTGGGGATTGAGCCCAGAGCCTTCTCACTGCACTACACCCTCAGCCCCCTTTCATTTACTTTGTCATCCTCACTGTGACACACGTGGTGTCATTAAGTTGCTACCCTGTCCAAGCTGGGCTTAAGTTTGCAATCCTTTGCCTGACCCTCCAGGAAGGCCACAAGTAGAGGCAAGTGTCATCACACCTGGCTATTTTTTTTTAATCTTTGTTTGACTATTTTGAGATGAGTCTCACCAGGTAGTTCCAGGTGGCCTTGAACTCACGATGTAGCCCAGGCTAGCTTTGAACTAGCAACAGGCTCCTGCCTCACATTCTAAGTGCTGGGACTACAGGTACGTACTACCTACCCAGTTCCTATCTCTTTTATAAAAGTATTTTACTAGCTCCATTTAAGAAACTTGATGGCCTTAGTATATCAAATGGTATTTCTCTAACCCAAGTCCTACAGCCTTAGAAATCTCTTATATCCATATGCCAACAGAACTATAAGCCCATAAGTATCTCTTCCCCACAAACTGAGGGTTAAGGACAGAAAATACCATCAGCCAACAAATAAATCTAAAGAGTAAGAAGAATCAACATAAAATGTGTATTCATCAGAAGCTATCAGTAGAAGCAATTCACCCTAAAAAATTTATTTACAAAATGCTATTAATGAGATGAAAGTGGAACAAGTATTAAGAATCTCCCATCATCTAAATATAACCTAAGCTACGTGGAAATTATGATGGGAGGCCAGAGAGACAAGAGAAGGGTGATGGACACACACGCACGCTGTTGGAGGAGGAGGCAGCTGGAGGTGTATCTGGAGTCTATCAAGGCCGCTGACACTATTCCTGGGTGGAAAATGTGTGACCTCTAAGCATGCAGCTGGAAAAAACCTCAAGAGAGCAAAGGGTACCATGTATCAGCTGGTGGCAAATATACCTTGACTCAATTTTCCTGACTGGATTTGATGCATTAGACTTCTATACCATAACCTGGCCATCAAGGACAAGATTGTTCTGAGCAAATGAACAGTGGTGCTTTAGTACATCACAGACTAATATGTAAAACAGTATCTGTTTGATTTCTGAACCTTAAGTGGAGGATGAAACCCACTAGAGATGAGTCTGTAGGGGGACTGCTATGGACTCCCACACTCCTTGGGAAAGAGACTGGCACATTCCTTCCCTGCAGGAAGGTCAGCTTGAAAATCATTAATCAAAAAGAACAGATGTAAGAAGGTATTTGAAGATATATCAGAAAGTCAGATTTTCTACTGCCCAAATCTGGCTGCCTTCTCCATGACAGCAGCTTCCTCCCAAAGTTCAAGACCCAGCGCACGCACCTTGGTGAGGTTGTTCTGATAGATGGTGTTCAGGCGGCTCACATAGGCGTCCCGTTTCTCCTTTATCACACTACAACGAAAGCCAAGTTAGTACTCAGACCCACGACTGTCCTCCGTCAGTCAGGCACCTAGCTCTGAACACCCCTGAGCAGAAAATCAGCCTATCAGGGAGAACGAAGCAAGCAGGTATCTCTGAAGACAGCCGCCCTTCCACACCTGCGTCTGCCTTCCTGTGTATGAGACCCTACCCCATCCCCAGGAGAACGCCCAGGTGGCACCCGAGATACAGAGCCACGCTCTGTGGAGACCCGAAGGGCAGCTGTTCTGGCACAGCTCCAATGCATGGAGGCCACTCAATATATTTGTTGAAAAAACTGGACAGATTTGCTAAAAAACTTAAAATTTTGACAACTTCAAAATTTTATGGCAGTTTTTAAAAAGTTAAACATAGAATGGCTGCGTCACCCAGGTAGGTACAGACTTAAAAGAACTGAAAGCAAGGACTTAAACAGACACTTGCACACCAATGTCTGTAGCAGCATTACTTGCCACAAAACACAGAAACACCTCAAAGACCCACGCACAGGTGAGTCCGTAAACAAACCGATGTATCCTACAGTGACACACGACTCAGTGAAACATGAACTTCTGACAGGGGCTACAGCATGGACAAGCCTTGAAAATGCTATGCTAAGTGAAATAAACCAAACATGAAAGGAAAAGTATTATATGGTTCTACATACATGATGGACATTAAGTCTTAAAGATAGAAAGCAGAACAGAGGTACCAAGAGCCAGTGGAAAAGAGAAATAAAGAGTTCATGTTTAGTGGGTGTAGAGTTTTTATTTGGGATGCTGGAAATGGGTAGTAGTGATGACACAATACTGTGTACAATTAAGAGGTAAAAATGGCCAGGCATGTCCTTAATGTCACTGGACTGAACACTTAACATTGGTTCAATGTTCAGGCATGATGCATACATCATGGCTGGGACAGGAGGTCCATAGGTCTGAGGCCAGCCTGGTGACGTAGTGAGACTCCATCACAAGATAAAAAATAGAAGGGGTTGAGGGGAAGGCTCAGTGATAGAGCAGTTGCCTAGAATGTGTGAAGGCCAGGGTTCAAATTTTTATGTATTTTACCACAATAATACCCCACCACTATAGCCAGGCATGGTGGCTCATGCCTATAATCCCAGCACTCGGGAGGCTGAGGCAGGAGGATTGTTATGAGTTGGAGACCACCTGGGCTACAAATGAGCTCAAGGCCTGCCCAAATTACATAGAGACTCAACTCAAAAAGACAAAAAAATAAAAAATAAAAATACCCCACTACCATCAAAAAATTCATGGCTTACATACTTAGGCAAATATGAATTTATAAACTGAACACTTTAAGCACTTACCGCCAATTGAATTTACTCTCACAACTTTGAAAGCCATAATCAACATGATCGTGCATGAACTCAGAGTGGACAGCCGTGTTCCACATTACCTGTTTAAAAAAAAAACAAGGAGAGACAGAAACCATGAACTAATGGTAACTATGCAACCGCAGATAAAAATACTGACTGGGAAATTGAACCTAAACTGAACACACTGAATGTTCAGAAGTATGACCTGATACATTCCTGCAGAAAAAGTTTTAATTGGCACATTTGGAAACATTATTATTCTGATAATGATTTCTCAAATATGAAAAAGGAGAGTGGAAAGAGGAAGAAATAAAAAATTCTACCTTTTTGGGTACACATCCAACATTCACCTAGGGAAAAAAAAGACATAACATTAAGAGCATTTAAACTCAAGTCATAAAACCCATAGAACAACCCCAAGCGCTTAGAAACCCCCCCTCTTTCGGTTCCCTTAGTGGACAATGCCTCCCAACACCTTCAATCCACACCTTTAGCCCTGCATTTTGCTGCTTCAGTCTAGTAACAGGCTTTGATTAGAACAAACTCCAAAAGCGATGTACCCAGAGGTTGAGATGATGTTGATACATTAAAGAAACGCAACTCTACTTTCTTCCAGTCACATCTCCAGATTGCCAGAAACCTTTAAAAGAACTTCAAGGCCAGACAGTGTGCATGTCTATAATCCCCGCTACAGGGAAGTCTGAGGCAGGAGGATGACAAGTTTGACCCAAGCCTGGGCAACCTGGTGACTTGCCAAGATCATGTCAAAGAAAGAGCAAAAGAATGGAAGAGAGGAAGGCAGGCTGAGGATGTTGCTCACCCAGTGGAAAGGCTCTGGGTTTAATCCCCAGGACTGCAAAAATAAGAGGAAAAAAGGAAATTCAAAGGGTCATAAATTAGGACTAAAATGTTCTGAACCAAGCTCACCCATCATCAGTTTACTCCCCACAGATATGAGAAGCTATCTTGAACTTATTCAAGGCAATTTAAAAATGCTTGGAATATGCTTCTACTAAGGGCCAAGATGGCCTGACTTGCCCTGATGCTGAATAGATGACTTATTTTTTGAAGTTTCTGCCTTTCGGGTTTCTAAGTTAAAAATAAAAAGACAAACACACACACAGTTAAAAATAAAAAGACAAACACACACACACACACACACACACACACACACACACACACACACACACCCTTACAGCTACTCATTCATTCCAGCGTTGGAATAAGCACTCATCCACTTGTGCCAGGCATCATGCAAGACAAAGCACAAAAGAGATGCAATTCCTGTTCTCGTGGAACCTGCAGTCCTAGCCAGAGAGAAGCTCTGAGCTTACTGGAGATACTAACCCAAGGACCAGTGGCAGAATTGCTGTGTCCTCCAAATCGCAGAGCATTGGGCCAGAAATCATATGTTCGGAATGGGGTGCTGTAAGGCTGGGACCTCACTGTGTCAAGAGGGCCTGCACTGCAGCACAGCACAGTTGAGAGCCTGGGGATTTGGAGGAGAGGTGGGTGGTGATCCTGAAATACTTGGTCTACTATGACAGCTTGTGGGACAGGCCCTCCAGGAATTATGCTGGTTTTAGAGAGCAATTACTCCCCAGAGCAACTGACGGCAAGACAGACATCTCTGACTTATCTTCAAAGCCAGGAAGGCTGAGGGCAGACAGTTCTGTCCGCTCACACACACTCCTCGCCTCTGCTGCTTCCTTCTCCTTCCTCTTTTCTAGGTGACCTGTGTAGGAGGTCATCAGAGAGACCATAGGCCTGGGGTCTGCTGCACAGTGTGACCCTAAACTCACCCTCCTCCCACACTGGCTCTAGGTGGGTAAGTTTCTAAGTCTCTCCAACTGATTTCCTATTCCATCAAATGGGAAGAGTAACCCGTGATTACACAGGTTTTAAGGAGGTTAGTGGTAATGTACAGAGAGCACTGGCATCTAATCTGTGGTAAATCTATGGCAAATCTGATGTCCCTGAATCATTTCTGCAGTCTGCTAGCTGTGCACGGGCACATAGGACAGAGGAGATGAATCCTGCAGGAGCCTGCATCTCAGAAACAGACGGACGGGTCACCAAGGAAGTCCACCTTTCACACTGGGACCCTGGGTTCGCAGGGGTATGGCTTCCCAGAGATACACACAGTGTCTAAACCTTAAACATCCCACACTTGACTGTGCAAGTTGTCTCATAGAACTTTCCAGGTCCAAAGAGAGGCAGTAGGATGGCCCAATCTCCTGTTCTTCTCAGTAAACTCATCCAAGATCTCATAACTCTGCCTCCCTGTCCAACTCAGCAACAAAACTTTTAATTACATAGTGTTTAGCCGGCATGGTGGCGCGCGGCTATCATGCTAGACCGAGCTACACACCAAGACCCTCAGTTCAAAAAAACAAATATCATCTACATCTTCCATCGAAGTAACCTAAAGTTCTCAGCCCTGGCGGCAACACAAATCACCCAAGGAATTTCTCAAACTCCCGAAGCCCAGGCTGCGCCTCAGCTCCCGGCGGTGAGAAGCCCTGACCAGCCAGCTTAAAGAACCCGAGGCCTGGGCTGAGGGCAGCGCCGTACATCATTCTGCTCCTGGCAACAGTCCGGAGGGGCGCAGACTCCCATTCCTCCAAGGCTCCACCGTGCAATCCCACCCTACAGGGGGCTGCCCACTCCCCGATTTTCCAGACGCTGCTTCGCATCTCCCAGCGCAGTCGCGGGGTGCAGTCCTCTGGCAGCAGAGCGGCGAGCATGCCAGAAGGCTCTGCTCTGCGTAGCAGCAGCGGTTGCACGGGCACTGCACCTGCGCGGCTGCCCGCGGGGGCCAGGCCTTCGGCCGGGCCGGAGGGGTCGCAACAGGCAGCTGCTCCCGCCGAGCCCGGGAGGGAAGGAGGAGCGCGGGCGCAGGGCCCGGTACTCACGCAAGTGCCGCCCAGCTTGTGGCTCTCCACCACGGCGGCCCTGGCGCCCAGCTCGGCCGCCCGGCGGGCGCTGGCCAGCCCGCCCGAGCCGCCCCCGATCACCAGGTAGTCGAAGGAGGCCGCGGCGCCGGGCACCGGGCGCTGTTGCAGCCGCCTGGACGCCATGGCGCGGGAGAGGGCGCACTGAGCGCCGGCGGGCGCGCGCGCACGCAGCGGGAGGCCGGGGGAGGCGCGCACCGCTCGCCCCGCGCTCGCGCCCACGCCCAGCGCCCGCCACGGCAGCGCCATGCACGTGGAAGGCGCGGAAGGGGCACTGAGGGCGCGGAGGGCGGGGCGCGGCGGCGCAGCCTCACGGTGACTCAGCGTTGCCCGCCAGCGCTGCCCGCCAGCGCCGCCCCACGCCCGGGACGCGGCCGTTCTTCCGGAGGGTAAGCTGCGTAGGTTTGTAGGCCGTTTCCTTCGCCTGTTCCGAGGACCACCTGGACGGTGCATTGTTAGCCTCTGATGCGGATCTCCAGACTCTGTGAGCGGGACACTGGGGGCCCACACTTGATATTTTTATTTAATTGTACTGGGAACTGAACCCAGAGCTTCGTGTGTGCTCCAGTTGTTTGTTTGGTACCCGGGATCGTACTCACAACCTTGTGCTTGGCAGGCAAGTGCTTTTGCCGCTGAGCTATATCCCTGGCTTGGGAATCAGCTGTAACCCATCAGAATAGAATACCAATGTTTAACTCCCCCCCCCCATTAAAATATAATACAGTGGAAGGAAGGAAAGGTCTCACCTCCAGCAGACTGCTGTAATAAACGTAGAAGACAAGCAATTAGAAAATATTTTTGGTGCATTTAGGAGGCTGAGGCAGAAGGATCGTGAGTTTCAGGTGAAGCAAGCCTAGGCTATGCAGAGAAACTTGTCTCCAAAGGAGCCGAAAAAAAGATCCATTTAACTGCTATCATAGTAAAAATTGCTTTGTCAGGAACCGTTAATAAATGTTACAGCTGTCACCAGCTTCCATGGGATTTTGCCTCAGTGATAGTGGAAATTAAAAATGAAGTGACAGCACAGATTTATAGGCAGAAGCTTTAATAGGAAGGAAAACGAGGCAGGGACTTGAGTTTTGAGAGTAAGAAGGCACAATCCTGATGGGGACAATGCCGACCTGCCAACACTGGGGGCCAGCTGTTAGAAGATTGTTGAGGCGGGCCTGCTTCTGACTGGTATAACCTCAATTATGCTTTGTGGCTCCAGAGAAGACTGTGGTTTGGAGGGGCAGCCTGGTTCCCTGAGAGGGGTGCTGGTGCCCAGTGGGTGGCAGCCTTGGGGTTTGCTGACTCAGCAGGAAAGCAGGGTTCCTGCAAGTTTAGGGCAGCAGCTGGAGATTTGCCAAGGCCTGAAGCAGGATGTTCCAGAAGAGGTGGCTGACTGTCCCCACAGATGTCACTTTTTGAGAGGGTCTCCTGCATTTCAGACTGCCCTTGAGCTCACTTTGTAGCCCAAACTGGTCTCAAACTTGCAATGATTTGATCCTTCTGCCTCAGCCTCCCGACTGCTATAATTAAACCATTTGCCACCATCCAAGCTCCCATATTTGTCTTGTCTTGGTGTCCTCAGTCTTGAAGAGGACGTGGGTTATTTAGGTCGATTGAGGACTACTATGCCTGGAATTGTCAGGTCTAGATGGACACTCCCTAAGTGATTAACCTGTGTGCTGTGGAGCGGAGCAAGGATCTAACATGAACTTTTAAGATAATAAAAGAGATAGATTTAAAACAGAGGCAGAAATGCCAAGATTTATGCTGTTTTTTGTTACTCATTGGACATCATTGGCCTTCGTAAAAAGTTGCTTTTTTGTTTTGTTTTATTTCTTAGCAAAAGTGGCTTTTAAATTGCCATCTCAGAAGAATACACAAATCTCTGCTTGGCAGGCGCAGTCATGAGTTTGAAGGCCTGGAGTTTGTCCTTTCTCCCTTTGTGATGATTTCAGCAGTTTATTTATTCAAGTTCTCTGAGATAGGGTCCCCCTATATAAATGTAGTTCATGCTGGATATGGTTCATGCCTGAGCTATAAAGTAAGTTCAAATACAGCCTGAATTACAGAGGAAGACCCTGACTCAAAGAAAGTTCATGGTAGTTTTAAATTCACTGTGGAGCCCAGGCCCACGTCTTAATTTGAGGTGATCTTCCTGCCTCAGCCTCCCAATTGTTGGGATTACAGTCATGTGCATACACCCAGCCATCTAGTTTCTTTTTGGAGATGCTATGACAAAGGCCTCCTGGCTTTAATGGTGCATCCAGTTTTTAAGATCAGTAAGACTGTTTGAAGAGAAAAATCTATATTGTACTTTTAATGTGTAACAGGTCCTTAGCTAAGGCCCAGGAGTGTACCTGCCCTTTGTCCCCATAGTAGTGTCTATCTCAGAACCACAGGGTGAAAGTATGATTGGGAAAGGATTATTCATAGTTTCAGAAACAGTCCCCATAGATTGTTAATGGATTTCAAAGAACAAAAAGGTAGCTGTATGGTGAGCCCAGGTACCGCCTTGTCCAAATAGTCAAATTAGAGATTACCAAAATGAGACAGTATGACTCATGATGAAATGCGATAGAAAATATGTAACTTACATAATTTTCCTGCTAAAAATACAGCTCTCCTGAATCTGATTGTGAAGTAACAGAAAAACTGAATTTGAGGGTGTTGTACTTAAGCAAATAGGTTCGTTATATGTGTATTATAGCAAACCTGCAATGTGGCTTACTAAATGTGTTTTTTTTTATCCTTTTTCCCTAACTGATATGTTAAGTAACCTAACTGATATGTTGAACAATACTCTCCTCTGTAAAGAATTGCAAGAATCTCACCTAATTGATATGTTAACCATTGTTGCCCTCTACAAACTACAGAAGTTGTGCTAAAACAAGCTAACAAGGGTTGTTAATCACTGTTAGGCGCCTCTATTCTCCGCTAAAGAGCTAAAGAAAACTAGGATGGCCCACTAATATACACTTGTTTGAAGTAATCTGCTTGTGTGCAGAGAGATTTGCGTATGAGTTTAACCCTTTCCCTGACCTTGATTCCCTTCCCAGAAAGAAAAAAATACATAACCTCCGTTTTCTGTTCTGTATGGCGCCTTATTGCCTCCCTCTCCCCTTACCTATCTATCTAGGCTAGGCCATAAAGAATTTGGGTTTCTGGTGACCTCTTCCTGACCCGGTGATCATCTGTCATAAAATGAGCCTGCCCCTATTTTAAGAACTGTTTAGCTTCAAAGAAATTACCGGGAAATACTATGGCACAAACCCCAATCAGTGCTTTCCTTTTGTTCTGTATGCATCAAATGAGTTAGATATCAGATCTTTGTAAAACTTAAGTTTCAGCTTCTTGTAACTCTTGACCCCTTCGCACCCACTAGCGAAAACGAGCAGTCCTGGGATAATTAACTCTCCACTTTCTTTTCCAAATATTGCTGCAGATGTGCCACTCCGAGATAATGTCAGTCTGTGGGATGGGAGTAATTTGAGAAACACCAGGAACTCCCGAGATTGTCAGAGCTAAGTGGACAGCAATACAGTTTCCAGATTCGGGTCAACAAGTTTGATGGCTCTGCAGGTTTCTTTGTGTCCCCCCCCCTTTTCCTCCAGCCTCTTTTTAAAGTCCTCCCTTCAGTCTCTGGGGACATTCTCCAAATTGGCTCCTGGAGACTCGTCGCCAGGCCTGGAAATAAAGCCTTTGCTACCTAAATTTTCGGTCTCTTGCTTCCTTGGATTTTATACCAGGGCTCGAGTTATAACAGAGGGCAGTTTTGCAGCTGGCCAGTGCTCTTTAAATGTGACCAGTGTTTTCAAAATAAAGCAAGGTCAGGGAACTATTCCAGACCAGAGAAGATAGAAGAAATAGAAAAACTGGGGGCAGAACTTCATCCAGATGGGCTTCTCCGCTGGGAGAAATTTGCTACAAAGGACAGTGGGTACCAGGTAAAGGAGTGCCTGCCTGGGAGGCTTGAGGTAGCAGGATCATGAGTTCAAGCCCAGAGTGAGCAACTTAGTGATTTACCAAATTCAGAACACTTCCTGTTGTAGTCAGGGGTTGTGAGGAGAACAATTAGAACCAGGACATGGAATTTATAATATTATTTTACCATGGTCACCCAGAGTTAACAAGAAACTTCAGGAAATCTACCTACAACACCAAAGACATAGAATGTTTAGCCAAGGGCTTGAATCCCACAGCAATATCCCGCTGAGTCCAGATGAAGACCCAGAGCTCATGACAGTGCCTCCCACAAGTCCAGCTGGAGGTCTAGAGCCCACAAGAAGGACCTGCACCAGTCTCTTTTATGGATCTGTGCTGGGAAGGCCCAAAGGTCAGCGGTGGAAGCCAGAAAGTCCATGCCAGCAGGGTGAAGGAGCTGTGCTGGTAGATTGAGGGTTCTACACTGGAGCTGAGAAGTCACGCTCAAAACAAAGAGCAGGGCTGTCCTGAAAAGCACCACAGCCATCCTCAGCAACATGGAGGCCTCAAGCTCCTCCAACAATAAGCACAGTCGAGTGACACTGACCTTGACCTCACTGTGAAGCCCAGGCTGGCTTCCTGCCTCAGCCTCCCATTGCTGGGATTATAGGCATGCACCACCATGCCTAGCTTAAGTATGGCTATCTGAATGACATTATTATAACTTGGCATTATCATTGAGGAAAAACTGGGTCCCCAAGCTTTAAGAACTGATTTACATTTTCATAATGTCATTGGTAAATGTTTTCTTTCAGTGGGCACATTTAGGTGATTTGTACAAAGATACCGTGAAGTATCTGTGAAAATAACAAACTGGCATTATTTATTAGACTAAACCTAAGTTTAAGAGTTTTATATATTACCCCTTCCTCAACCCAAGAGACAAGTACAGTATAACTCCATTTTATAGATGAGGAGACTGATGTTCAAAGACAGAACAGACACAACAGCTGATGAATTTGAATCCTAGAGGCCTAACAAACTGTATTGGTCAGCTTTCCTGTTCTTGGCTCAAAATATCCAACACCTGGGCCAGGCATGGTGGTGCACACCTGTAATCCCAGCACTCAGGAGTCTGAGGCAGGAGGTTCATTGCAAATTTGAGGCCAGCTTGGACTACAAAGTGAGCTCAAGTCTACCCTGAACTGCATAGTGAGACCCTGTCTCAAAAAGACAAAAAAATAAAAAAAATCCACCCCCTGCAATTAAAGAGAAGTGGTTTATTTTGGCTCACAGTTTCAGAGTTTAAGTCTATGTTTGCCAGAAACAATAGCAGAGGAGCATGTTGGGAGCAAAGCTGCTTAGTTCCGTGAGGAAGGAGGGCTCAGGAGAGGAGGCCCAGGGAGAGACAGGTCCTCCAGGGTCTTCCCCATTGTTGTAACCTGCTAACCAGTTCCTTGGCTGCCTTGCTGTTCTGTAAAGCTCCAACCCCCCCCCCAAATGCTCCATAAAAGATGATAAAACTTATTCGTCCTGATGGAGACATCTGTTCCAAGAAACGACCCACCACAAAAAAACAGAACCTTGTACTTATGTTAAAAACATGTTATGTATGTGAAAAGTCCCCAGGTCAAGCTGTACCCAAAACTATGCTTGAGAGCTTTCCAAAGGACACCCACCGGCATAAACAACCCCCTTCTCTTTGAGGTCCTTCGTTCGGGGTGCTCAGTCTAGCAACTGCCTGACTGACACCTCTGGGTACCAGCTAAAATAAAGTGCTTCTTTTTCTATTTTTCTGTCTTGCTTTTGGGAGTTGCTGACAGGGAATTAGAGATGGGGTCCACTTTTGGAGTCTGGGGGGTCCCACACCCATGAGTGTCTGCTGGTGAGCACAGCACACAGTAACCCAGCCACTCCTCTGCGGGGCTCTTAATCAGTCAAACTGATCATTAAGCTTAATCCCCGAAGCTTCTTTTTTTGCTATACTGGGGATAGAACCCAGAGCTCTACTGAGCTCATTCCAGGCCTGTTTATTTATTTATCTTTAAGACAGGAGTTTATTAAATTGCCTAGGCTGACCTGGAACTTTCAATCCTCTTGCTTCAGCCTCCCAATTAGCTGGGATTATAGGCATGTACCACCATGTCCAGAGTGAAGCATAGTCTCTTACTCAGCCAGAAAGAAGCCATCCTATAGAGTTGAATGACTTACTTTTCTCTCCTTGCTGAGACAAAATTCCCAATACCCAAAATTAAAGGCGGAAAGGTTTATTTAGTTCAGTTCGTGGAGGTTTCAGTCCATAATTGGCTGGCTCCAAGGTAGGGTAGCACATGGCAGAGGGGCAACCGTACAGGGCAACAGAGGATTGCAAAAGCAACAAGAAAGGGAGACAAGATTCTTCCTATTCCTTACATTGTATGCAAGCTGCCTGCTCTAGGTTCTCAAATCCTTAATCCCAGCCAGAACTGTGCCAAACCAATCAGTGGACTGATTTAGTAATTACACACCCTTAACCCCAGCATCTCACACTATAGATTCGGCCACCTCTGAAAAAGCTCTATGACTGCATGAGGCTTTGAGAGGACAGCTAGATGCTAACCATGACATTTTTTTGTTTTGTTTTTCCTCAAGTGGTAGGGATCAAACTCATAGCCTCACATGGAGCAGGCATGTGCTGTACCACTGACATATATCCAATCCATGTTCCAAGCATTTCCTTTTAATTGACTTTTTAAAAGAGGAAAATGTTCAGTGTAATTTTTTATATTTATTTCATGTAAAAATGTAGGCTTTTCTTCCTTCCTCTGCATGTTTTTTGTACTGCAACTCATGAGAGGCATATTCATAATTCCTAAGTGAATAGTGCATATCACACCTTCATATTGAGGTTACAGGTCCAGAGGTTAAATGTCAGAAGGAAATGATAGTGGTACCTTCACACCATCTGAGAAGGTCGGACAAGAAACAGTAATGTGTAAAGAAACTAGGGGACATCAGGAAACCAGTTCGCCCTTCCCATGAGCCAACTGGGACATGGGTTGAGTGTCAAGGCGCCCCCCCCCCCATTAAGCAGCTGGCTGGTTTGGAGGACAGGCTGAGTTGATAGCAACTAAAGCATAAGAACAACTTAATGCTTGTATTGTTTGATTGACTTTGCAGGCCTAAGCGCGGTGGTCTGAGCATCTACGAGAGGGATAACAGTATGTAATATAGAAAATATAGCAAAAGGATTTCCTTTTGTCTTGTTTTTAAAGTCCAACATTGTTCTCACTGTTTTGTTTGGTTCCAGTTTATTGTTTTTATTTAATGTCCTGTTTTAGTTGTTTTTGTTCTGTTTTATTTGATTTTACTATGTCTGATGGAATGGACAACTGTTGTAAAGATACCAAGATACACTGTGGTAGCCATTGTTGATTTCCTATGATCCTGCTTTGAAATTCCATACCACTTTAACTGCTTTGTTTTGGTTGGCTTTACTCTGAGTTATTTTGTTCAGTTTTGTTCTCTTTAAAATAAAAAAAAAACTAGCACATACAGGCTGTTCAATAAAATATATTTCTTAGGTTCTATATATGAAGATAATTGTCATTAGGAGAAAAAAGTAGGGAAAAAAGGACTAAAACAACTATTACTTAAGCTGGGTGTGGTGGTGTCAACTACTCTAGACTGAGGAGGGAGGATCACTTAAATTTAGGAATAGGAGGCCAATCTGGATTAAATAGTGGTCTCCATGTTAGAAAAAAAATGTGCCCAGTTACACAATTTCAGTATCTAGTATCAAGGGAAAAATACTGTCTGTTTTGAAAAGACAGAACAACTAAAAATGAATTGAAATTAACAGAAAGCAAATTGTAGTCTAAGGGGCAGGAAACTTTCAGAGTCAGGTTGTAAACTGGCTTTCCTGAAAGCTAGCTGGGACTTTATAAGATGCTCTGGATTCTGGGCTTATCTTGCCATCTCCAAGATAACTTCCAGCTAATTGTGACTATGTCCTCTGCACTCACCACCAGCTAGTGCACATCTGCTGCTCCCCTCCAGTACTGCGTCTCTCCATGGCGGTGCCAGCTGTCACTCTTGTCTTCAGGTTTGAACCACTCCGCTTGTGCAGTGAGTCCCAACTCAGGGAGAAGACGCCATCAGCTAATTCCTTCTTCATTCGAGTTTCTCTTCAGTCTCTCTGTGGACTTCAGTTCACACTTCAGATGCTTACTGCGTCCAGTGGACCCACTCCCCTTCATCTTGTCTTTCTTACGATGCTATAGTTTAGTGTCTGGACGGGGACTCTCAAAGAGGCTGTTTATCTCCTGCTTACTGCTCTGCCATCTTGGTGTCCTCTAGTTGTGTTGTCCAGGATAGCTTGGAATTTGCAGCTGTCCTCCTACCTCAGCCTTCTAAGTGCTAAGGTAATCCCACCCTTCCCATTTTGCACAAAGAATTGAATTAAACAAGCAAAAATCAGTTGCAAAGTTATTTGAAAAAATAAAAGTGAAGCTGAATAAGGTGCCACAGACCTGTGATCCCAGCACTCAGGAGTCTGAGGCAAAGGGGTTACTGTGAGTTTGAGGACAACCTGGGCTACATAGTGAGTTGAAGGCCAGCCTGAACTGCATGGTGAAACCCTGTCTCAAAAAGACAAAAAAAAAAGAATGAAGGGTAAAACAAAAACAAGAAGAATGAAGGATAAACTGACTGCAGAGCAAGCTTGGGCCAAGTAAAAGAGGAAAAAGCAGGATAAAAGTACACTCCGGAGAATCCAGGGTGAGCTAGTATGAGGCAAACCACAATAAAAA